ATCTTTGCTAATATATTGGTAAGTGAACAATCCCAATTAGCACCCCTTCCGATTGATCAATGTACGCAAGACTTATGTATTCGTGTATAATACACACTCATGTGTTATATGCACCCTTAATTATGGGCAATTTAATTCTGGAAAAATATATCTGTCGTATATAAACACTCAGGCCATTAGCATAAACCACGAAATTTATCTTTCAACTCTGTTTTTTCCACCAAGATAATATTCTAATAAGAGCCCACTATTTCTAATTTTGAGAGCGCCCTGGGCGCTTTTTACGTCTAATTATGGGTATTTTATAGTGTTGTTAAGATCAGATGAACATACTGGTCAGGTAAAAATTTTGACATCGTTCTTTGAAGAGAAGTTTAACCACGCTCAACAAATAAAAAAAAAACGTCAATATCCTGAAAAGTCCTGTGCAAGACATCATGCGCCAGGTGAGGTTCCTGTGCACGATGTGAATACCCATACTTAAAATATCCACTGCCATGATTCAACAATGCATCTGTTCTCCAACCCTACGAACAACTCTGAGCCAACCAACACCCACAGTCAGATTGAAAATCACTTCGTAAGTGAAAAGCGTGTTACGTTCCACTGTTGGCATTGTCCATAACAATGTGTGGGTATCCCCTCAATACAAACAGAATAACACTTGCTGAGTAAATGAAATATATAGAGGTTATCACGCGAGTGTGTTTGGGGATGGTAAATATCCTGCATTAGGAATAAACACTGTATTTAGCGAGCCATAGTGTTTATTCTTAATACAGGATATTTACCATCCCCAAACACACAAGCGTGATAACCTCTTTATCATATCATGTCATTCTTTAATTCTTTCCTTCAAAATCGCTTTCCCTCTCACAAACATTATCTAAACATTGCGACTTTTCCTGGAATGCGTGCATTAATAGTTATTACGTCACAGGGTAAGTGATGTGTCAGTCGGACAGTGACAGTAGCCAATGTAGTTCCAACTGAAACCTGTTTCACAACAGTGGCGAAGCAACATATACACAAAACAACAATTGTTTTAATTGCCTTTCGCGGCAATCCATCGGTATGTCCGCCAGAGTAACTGCCCTTTGTCAAAGGGAGGCTACTCTAACCCTAGTCTATGAGACGTCACGGGCACGGTCAGACGCTGTTGACAGTCGGTCTGTCCTGTCATAACATTAAGAAGTGTAGTCAGATGTACACACAGCCACAAAACCAAACAAGGTAACAGTTCAAACATATTTCGGCCAAACCTAACTATTTAAATTTGTGCAGAGGTCTACAGGCACAGATATAGCTACTGATCCCGCTTGGCTAGGCCTCGTGCCCTCGCAAAATTGTTTCGAAATTTATATCTCCAAAGTTGCCAAAACATATGAAATGCCTTAGCTACGTCACAGTTAGACACTGATTTTCAGTATATTAGACTGTTCTTTTGATAATGATAGCAAATATTCCTGATTTATCCAGATTCCCGATGGTTAATTCCGACTCGATCGCCGAATGACGAGTGGGCGACGCAATGTTTGTTTATAAACAGTGAAGGTAGTCCCTACTTGACCTTTATATTTGCATCTCTATCCGCATTTGACCCCAACGGATATCGTTTTTATCCGTTGGTTTATCCTCCCGAGAAACCCACCCATTATATGATAATGAATAAATATGAGTGCTTGATGGATGAGATGTGTTTGTCGTGGATAGGTATGCGTGCCTTTGAATAGGCATGCGTGCGTGATAGATAGGCATGCGTGTGTCATGGATAGATATGCGGCTGTGATGGATGGGCATGTGCGTGATGTATAGGCATGCGTGCGTGATAGATAGGCATGCGTGTGTCATGGATAGATATGCGGCTGTGATGGATAGGCATGTGCGTGATGTAATGCATGCTTCAGTGATGGATAGGCATGTGCTTGATGTATAGGCATGCGTGCGTGACAGATAGGCATGCGTGTGTCATGGATAGATATGCGGTTGTGATGGATAGGCATGTGCGTGATGTATAGGCATGCTTCAGTGATGGATAGGCATGTGCTTGATGTATAGGCATGCGTGCGTGATAGATAGGCATGCGTGTGTCATGGATAGATATGCGGCTGTAATGGATAGGCATGTGCGTGATGTATAGGCATGCTTGAGTGATGGATAGACATGTGCGTGATGTATAGGCATGCTTGAGTGATGGATAGGCATGTGCGTGATGTATAGGCATGTGTGCGTGATGAATAGGCATGTGTGTTATGCATAAGCATAGGCGTAATGGAAAGGTATGTTAGGGTGATGGATAGGCATGTGTGCGTGAGGTGTAGGCATGTGTGCGTTTTTGATAGGCATGTGTGTGTGATGAATAGGCATGTGCTTGATGAATAGGCATGTGCGTTATGCATAAGCATAGGCTGGTCGGCTAGGCATGTGTGCGTGATGGCTAGGCATGTGTGCGTTTTTGATAGGCATGTGTGTAATGGATAGGCATGTGTGAGTGATATGTAGGCATGTGTGCGTTTTTGATAGGCATGTGTGTGATGGATAGGCATGTGTGCGTTATGGATAGGCATGTGTGTGAGGGCTAGGCATGTGTGCGTGATGGCTAGGCATATGCGTTATGCATAAGCATATAGCTGATTGATAGGCATGTGTGAGTGATAGATAGGCATGAGTGTGTCATGAATAGATATGCTGACCTGATGAATAGGCATGTGCGTGATGAATAGAAATGTGAATGATGGGTAGGCATGCTTGCGTGATGGATAGGCATGTGTGCGTGAAGGATAGGCATGTGCTTGCTGGAAAGGCATGTGCGTGATGGTTGGGCATGTCTGCGTGATGGATAGGCATGCTTGCGTGATAACCAAACAAACTCGATTATTTACAGACCGCCGTCATATAGCTGGAATATTGCTTAGTGCAGCGTTAAACAACAAACCAACATCAGCCAGGTGAGGCAGAACGGCCTTCCTTTCCGTTGAAACTGCCACCTGGCAATATATAGTGGACAGTAGCTTAACGTTCCCTCCCTTCCCAGAGTATCAACTCTTGCTATTTCAGCTCATTCTGGGCTGTTTTTGTCAATCCAGCAGACTGTAACGGCGGAACCCTCGGGGCAGATGCACGGTTTCTGGTTTGTTAATAAGGCGTATATAGGGCTCATTGATGCAGGTCCCCTCATTTGATATTCAATATATATGTAGGAGTTTGGCCGAGTTGTCGATGATGGTGCCCCTCGCTATTATTCATCTCATGTCATTGGTTTGGCAGGCTGAACGCTTGCCTGCTACCGGTACTGTTTGTGTGTTGTTTTACGCCGCACTATTCCTGCTATATGACGGCATTTGGTGTACGATGACATGTATCAACCAATTTAGCGAGTCTTTTACAACAAGCATAGTCGCCTTTTACGGCAAGCATGGGTTGCTGAAGACCTATTCTACCCCGGATCTTCACGTGTCTGCTATCGTTCTGCTAGCCACCACCTAAGGGAGGTGGCCTTTGGGTGGCTTTCCTCTCGGGTGGGGTACCTGTATTTGCCGTTGGGGTTCGGGTCCAAACTATTTGCATTCCCAATCAGCATTAAACCGTGCCCAGATGTCTTTATACAGTTCAGTAGTTTATATTTTGCAGCGTATTACAATAATCTCGCACATGGCAGAGATGCATTACAATAAGATTGTAATGGTGGTGACATTATGGAATATTACTGCCACGGTAGTGATGTATACGATACTCCAGCAATGGTTCGGAAGTATTACAATGATACAGCAACGATAGTTACGGGTTACAGTAATACAGCAACGATAGTTATGGGTTACAGTGATACAGCAACGATAGTTACGGGTCACAGTAACACAGCAACGATAGTTACGGGTTACAGTAATACAGCAACGATAGTTACGGGTTACAGTAATACAGCAACGATAGTTACGGGTTACAGTAATACAGCAACGATAGTTACGGGTTACAGTAATACAGCAACGATAGTTACGGGTTACAAAAATACAGCAACGATAGTTATGGGTTACAGTAATACAGCAACGATAGTTACGGATTACAGTAATACAGCAACGATAGTTACGGGTTACAGTAATACAGCAACGATAGTTACGGGTTACAGTAATACAGCAACGATAGTTACAGGTTACATTAAATACAGCAACGATAATTACGGGTTACAGTAATACAGCAACGATAGTTACGGGTTACAGTAATACAGCAACGATAGTTACGGGTTACAGTAATAGAGCAACGATAGTTACGAGTTACAATAATACAGCAACGATAGTTACGGGTTACAGTAATACAGCAACGATAGTTACGGGTTACAGTAATGCAACAACGATAGTTACGGGTTACAGTAATACAGCAACGATAGTTACGGGTTACAATAATACAGCAACGATAGTTACGGGTTACAGTAATACAGCAACGATAGTTACGGGTTACAGTAATGCAACAACGATAGTTACGAGTTACAGTAACACAGCAACGATAGTTACGGGTTACAGTAATACAACAACGATAGCTACGGGTTACAGTAATACAGCAACGATAGTTACGGGTTACAGTAATACAGCAACGATAGTTACGGGTTACAGTGATACAGCAACGATAGTTACGGGTTACAGTGATACAACAACGATAGCTACGGGTTACAGTAATACAGCAACGATAGTTACGGGTTACAGTAATACAGCAACGATAGTTACGGGTTACAGTGATACAGCAACGATAGTTACGGGTTACAGTGATACAGCATGAGCGAGCGAGATTGCCTTTACGCCGCTTTTAACAATACTCCAGCAATCTCACGGCGGGGGAAACCAGAAATGGGCTTTACACATTGTACCCATGTCGGGAATCGAACCCGGTTTTTCGGCGTGACGAGCGAACGTTTTAACCACAAGGCTACCCGATCGCGACCGCCCCCCATTCAGCATGATATGACAGGGAACCAACCCAATATTATAGTTTCTTAACATACAATGCCACAACTCTTCTGTCAAGCATTTTTTATTCATAACACTGAGGAGGCCAAAGGCCATGAACATTATTTCCATTTAGTATAATGTGGACATTTGACAGCATTACGGAAAGGAAAGTGCAGAGATCAAGTTTGTTGGACGAAAAGTGAACATGGACAGCGATTTCGTATGACTACCCTGACATCGGCTATAATTAATGGGTATATTTGCAAAAATTACACAGTACACATGATGATCAAGCATAGTATAAAGTGACAAATTGTTTCCGTTTGTCAACAGGTAATGGACAAAGAAGTAACACGTGATACTCAATAACTTATGTTACTAAAAGTGTACAGCTTGAAATTAGTTCCTTGAAATTACCTCTTGAGCAGCAGCAGCAGCACGCTCAACGGGCTCAGCACGCTCAACGGGCTCAGCACGCTCAACGGGCTCAGCACGCTCAACAGGCTCAGCACGCTCAACAGACTCAGCACGCTCAACAGGCTCATGAAGAAACTTAGCATCCATTTGCAAGTCATAATACTTCGGCCACCAACACCCGATGACACATCCACAGCTACGACTCTGAGAGGTCTGACCAGTGCAGTCACAGGTCTTGCATGAGCGACTTCTCCTCTGTTTGCCGGAGTAGCATCTTCCCCAGGACGTCCAGGTGCTCCAGGTGCCTGTTCTCCAGTGGTTGAGGTTAATTTTATCCAAAGAACCGCATGAAACCCTGGAATTAATAAAATACCTTATCATAAGTGTGGATGGGAATTTCTGCTGTATACGTGTTTATGGTAATTGCAAGTGAAAATTCACATTGTTTTAGATTGTTATGCATTTATTTTTTATAAACGCAAAGTGTTGAATACTACTTACCGAGATCTCTTGATAAAAGCGTTCTTCTGGATCATGAAGGTGTCCGTATTGTCACACACTACCCTGGACAGACTGGCTTTCCGGATCTCATTCAGCTGGTCTGATAATAAATCATAACAAGAAAGAAGTGAGCAAAGCTCACATACCCCCGTTATCCCCGCTGGTCAACAACAAATAGTAAATAGTTTGATAATAAATGAAATAGTACATATTTCTAACTGATTATAATTAACTTCAATGTTTTAAAAACTAAGATTGAGTTCCAGTGACAATAATTTGTACAACATGGTGGGAGACTTTGTTCCTAAACAGGGGATACATGGGTGTATACATTAAAATAACTGTTACTTTTTATTATTACATATGACGCAAAAGTAACATTACCAGTCAGTGTGTTTTGTTGGAGAGGATATTTTTTCGACCACTGCTTATAAGGCATACACATTTTCTTTCTTTGACAGGTGACCATGGCCATATTTTTACAACACCTATTCATATGTCATATAGCGAACTGTTAGCTTTTCTGGAAAACCTGATGTATGTATATATAGACATGTATTTAAACTCTCCATTCTGTAACGTATAATCGAACATATCATCATTCTACAAATGTTTGAGTTTATTGCAATTGGAGACCACTGACTGACCCAAAATCATGGTAAAATTATCACTCACTCGGAGTAAATTTCACATATGCGTTGTTTTCTTCAAACCAGAATCGGTCTCCTTCCTTCAGGGCCTGGAACTGCTTCCCCAGGAGACAGGTAAATGTCGGTCCCAGAAGTCCTCCTGGAACAGGCTTCTCAGACAGAGCCCCAGGAAACAGGTCAATGTCGTCGATGTGTCTGGAAAGAGCCATGTAACTATGGATCGGTGTGATTCAGGGTGTTGGCGCAGTGGATGATAGCGTGTACAGAAAGAACACATTCTCCCTCTGTTGTACTTGTCACCACTAGTCGAATAACCAGTCTAGTCACGGTCTAGTGACCTCACCACTGCCTCACTGAAATTTTCCGGCTTCCGTCACCATTCGGCAAAGTCCGGCGGTCATCGTTGTCTTGAGTGTTTTGGCATTCCTTGCTAGAGAATAAGTGAGCCGTATATTTCATTCTCTTTTGACTTAATGGCACCATTTTATCACCTACTGATTTGACATATGCTATCACACATATGTTTTCTACCTTATTCATGCATTGACATTGTTTTTCTTACTTTGATTTTCACACGGAAGCGGGGTTATCCAGTACTTCTAGATATTTCTCATGTATTATGATAATTTTTTCCACCTCTATAATTGTACATGAGTGGTTGTAAATCTTTAGGGGTACCAGTGGATAGCTTATGTTGAGCGCTATATGTTGGTACATCTTCGATATGGATATATGTAGCAGCTTGTTTGTTATTCGGTTTTTACTATGTTAACAAACGCACTTGTTTAAAGTCCCCCAGACTATTGATTTTTTCCCGGCTGACCAGAAGAGGATGACCTCTTCGACGTCCGCGCCCAAGTAATAAACCCTTGTCAAAATCATCTGTCTTTACCCCCAGGCTTCAATAAGGCCGATTACTGGTCGACTTGCTACTGGGTGGTCATTCGAAACTCTGCTTTCGTTGGTAAGTTGAGGGCGGTTTTGATCTAGTACTGACTTACTCTGGTTGTACTGAGCTAAACGTATGAGCTGGGATTTTTCATACTACGTTTTCTGGTAATCCGTGGATGACCAACCTTCCCGTGATTGTCAAGGTTTTAGGGAAGTTTAGAATTTCCCTTCCCAGTCAAAGTGGCCGAGTCGTTAGTCTATTAGGCAAGTTAGATTCGAACTGATATTTATAAACAGTAAGCGGTATTTGCACTTCAGTATCCATTATTGTCATATTAGAATCAAAGGAAGTAGTTGTTAAGAAGTACAGCTAAATGTACATGAACAATTACATATACTTTACTACCTGATTCAATAGAATATATTTTCTTCTGTAAAGGGACCGCACTCACTTATACACTTTCTTCAAAAGGTTCGCTGTAGTTGTTGTGTGTGTCGTGCAGGCCAGGCCGGAGAAGGGTGTAGCTGTTGGAAGGTCACAGTACTTCCTCCACTTGGTGTAAGACGGAAGCCCGTGGTCTCTTCCTCTCTGGATGTTGAGAGCTGCCAGGTCCAGACTATTTCCGTTACTGTCAGCAAACAACTTGTCCGTGACCTCCTGCGTCAGTTTGTGTTCTGCATTCTGAACTCCGTCCTGAACCAACCCTCTACAGTAATGGTCCACCTTTCTGTTGTTGACGTTCAGAATGAGATCCGTGTTGCCGAAGGTCTTGCTTAGTTCGTCCTTGCCGAGATAGCTATATGAAGAGCTGTAGCTAGCTAAGTGGCTGTGGATCATAGAGTGTCCCATTCTGAAAGCCGCCGTTGCGAAGGCGTTCCTGATGCTGGCGTCGGTCGTAGTGTTGTATACGTTGGCGTAAGTGCTCCCAGATCCAATTGGCAGGCCATACTTGGTCATGGCTTCTTCTCCCATGATAATAGGCAAGTATTCGTCATACGTGATTTTCTGAAATCCCGAGGATATTATATTTACATTCATTCACAGTAGACACACATAACATGATTATTTGCAATCATATGTGCATTTCAGACAGACAGACAGTTTATTTAGTAATTGTGCATTTCTTTTCTCTGTCGATATTGATTAAAAAAACACTTTTATTAAGAAAAATAGAATATTGGTACCTGTATGATAGCGCTCACGATCTTCCTGGCCTCCTGGAAAGTGCTCTCATCGCTCCAATGGCAGTTGAGGGCTTTTAGTTTTTTAGCTATGCGGTTGTGTTCTCTTGTGAAGATCGTGTGCATGCTCTGAAGAGTTGGGTTTTCATTCACTCGATGGTCACCTTAAAAATAAATATTAACGGTTTCTTAAGGCCCAAAATCAATAATGTTTCTGGTCTTTTAATTTGACGCGTATAGTTTTCATCCTTACCCTGTCAATTTCAAGCCGATATTTTTGTGTTCAAACAGACACTCTCGAGCAAGTACTTTCGCACATATGGACAGTCCGATCAGAGATTCGCGTGTCGAATTTGCGCTGCAAAGTAGGCAAAGACAGATATTTTCGAAGTCTTTCAAAGTTTTCAACCAACCAATTTGTTACAGTCCACAGTCTCATGGATTGTCACATCCCATTTGCTGCCAGTATTTCGCAAACCAAAGACAAGATATATAGATACGTCATTGGCCAAACTCAACAAGATCAGGAAAAAATACTTTTCATGCAGGTGTTTGAAGATGCTACACGCTCTTCCTACCTCCGAGGAAACAGTAGCTTTGGCTATTTGTTGTGGTACAACTAGGCTCCGAATCGCTAGGCAAGTGAGTCGATTTCATCTTCAGCTGACCTGAAACGAGGTGCAATGTACTGAAAACAAATATTAGCTCATTTCCTATTTCAACTTTACCACCAAAGATTTCCTATTGTAACATTTAGAGAATGGGCAACTTTTTCACGAACACCTGGTGTCGTCACTGATTTTCGGCATCCGTTCATATAATTGAATTTCAATTTACGCCCAATGAAACCTTTTTCGTCAAATAAATAGAGACTGAATATACTCTGGCCTTGACATTTACTAGAAACTGTTTCCAGTAGGTCTCACTGTAAATTATCACTTGTGCTTCATGATTTCAGGTAAGTCTACGCCCTATTGTTTCATTGGTTTGATGGCTCAACTGTCGTCACTTCATCTTATTCTCTCATATAATGAAGGTGACATCATCAACTGTTCATGGCGTAGCTGGAAGCCGTGATTTCGCCTCAACAACAGATTATATGAGCTGATGACAATATCCCAAACAATTCAATCTGGAATTATTGATACTTTGACACTTCTGAATTCGAATCATCTAAATTGGCGAAGGTGTCTTTTTCTGTTTGCAGTTTGCATTATTTACGTTTAAGACGAAAATAATACCATTAACGAAAGCTTCACTTGGGAACATGTAATCAATTAGGAATATTTTACGGGAATTGGAAATATACTCTTCAAAAAGAAAAACGCAAAGCCAGATTGTGTGAGGTAGGAAAATATATTTATACGAGGAACCTTAAAAGATATTGAGCAAAAAGCTTGTGGAGAGAACACTTGGTGATTGTAGTCATCTCAGTTATCGGTACATAGGAAAAGTCCAAGGTGAAGGTCAGCTACTATATAGCGCCTATGTCTCCCGTTGGAATCGATAGCAGCCTGACAACTCCTGCCCATTGAAGAGACGAGTATGCGAATCACAGCATTGGAAATGGTATCCCACTCGACCTGCAGCGTAAAAGCCAACAGCTGCAACGTCTTGGATTGTGGTTTACGTCGGCGTTGCCGCCTATCCGATTCATCCCACAGGTTCAAATTCTGGGATCTGGAGGGCCAGAGGAGAACATTAACGTTGTTGTGTAGACAGGCTCTTGTGATCCGTGCTGTATGCTTTGTGCTGCTGGAATACACCGTTGCCGTTGGCTGCAAGTGGGAGGACGCGTGCACATGGTAGGAGAATTCCGTTGATGTATCGTTGAGCTGTAAGAGTTCCCTGGATATGGACCAAACCTGTCCTGTCATAATGAGAGATAGCCGCCCACATCATAACGCTACCTCCACAAACCTGTCCATTTCCATACGCAGTTTCCGGCACAACGTTTCCCCCGACGTCTGTCTCTTTCATACCCTCGACGGGGTTCGTTGCTGAACATGACATCTGTCCATCGCAGTTGACGCCATACCCTGTGTTGACGACACTAATGCAGTCGTTGTTGACGATGTTGTCGACTCAATATGACGGGTCGAACAGGACGACTTGCGCGTACACCTGCTGCTCTTAAACGGTTTCGTACGGTCTGGTCAGAGATTCTGCGTTGTTCAGGTATTTTGGATGCTGTTGAGGTGGCTGTGGTCGTCCTTTCACGTAGGTGGCGCAGTCGGATGTAGCATCTTGGGCGGCGGTGGTTACTCTTGGTCGTCCCGACCTTGGCCGATCCCGTGTTGATCCATGCTGTTGAAACCGATTTCATAGCCGTGTAATGGGGCTGGGTGCTACATTGAAAACCCTGGCTACAGCTGATCGGGATTACCCTGCCTGAAGCGGCCAGTGACGTTGTTTCTTTGCACGTCTGTTAATCTTGGCATGTTGTTGAACAGTTACTGTTCGACTGACGCAGATGAAAGACAACCCCAAACCCTGCACTTTAATATCGTTCATAGTGCTGCTGCACGCGCAGTGCGTGAAGCTCCATGGTCCTTTTGTTAATGCACCGGGTGCGTTTTTCCGCAACGTACGTGTTTCCCGACTAATGGTTTGCATGTTCTTGTTATGATCATTTTGATACGGGAAATTTGTCACTGACACTATAACACATTAGACCCCTTCATTTTGCACCTCTTGGTCCGCAACGTTTGTTTATATGACCCAAAATATCCGCTTTGCGTTTCTTTCTTTTTTTTAAGAGCATATTAATTAGTCCTCTGACTGAATTCATCGTTCATGTGTTTCCCCTACCGTCAACAAATGTCCGTAGCTTGTTCTGTTCCTCCTGTGACGACCCGTACACCTGTGAGGCGTCTATGTAGGCTGTGATCTGGTTCAGCTGTTCCACGGGAGCTGGAACAAGCGTATCTTGTCATTGGAATATGTGTTACTACACCACACAGTGCATGGACAAGTTGTCTCATGCGGCACAACACGCTATGAAGAGTTGCCTTATCAATGTGTAAACTTGACTTTTCCTGGACATGATCGAGTTCGCGAACATGAAGAGTATTTAGTTAGATGACAGCTTAATAAGGCCACGAGGCTTTGCGGAATATCCTTGTTTTATAATAACCAACAACAAGAGAAACGGTGTTGACAGAGCATCGATCATTATCATGATGGTATTCGAACCCATGACCAGCTGGGCCGACACGACTATAGGACTGTGTAGTGGCTCAGACGAGTAAACCCCTTCATCTCCAAAGCAATTCTGTTACCACGATTTATTTAACGTTATATCCCCATTCCACTAGGCGACGCTCTTCTGCTCTCTACGCGCTCTGAGGGAGCGGTATAGGTCTCCTCATTCTTCGGTTATCTAGGAGCACTTACGATATGATACGATCAGATAGCGCTCCTGTTGCGATTCAATAGCGATCTACGCGATCCGATAACGACTAGAAGACCCTTGAGCGTAACAAAACAACTCAAAATGTGGCGATCTTGCACGATCAGTACCGCTCCTTTTGCGATCAAGGGCGATCAGGATGCGATCCAATGGTGCTCTATTTGCGCTCCGATGGCGATTATTGCGATCTTATGCGCTCTGTTCCGATCCGAGAATGATATATGCGACGTATGGAGGTCCATTAGCACTCAATTAGCGCTCTGTGGGCGCGATCGCCGAATCTTTGGTCCGAACCTATAAAATCTCGTAGCGTTCTGAGGCGCTCATTAGTTCTACGCTTGGCAGCTGAGGGGTAGGTCTTAGTCTTATATTACGTGGCGATCGGCGGCCCTCTGAGCTGATACGATAGCGCTCTTAATACGACCTTGGCGATCAAGTAGCGCTCTGATTACGACCATGGCGCTCCGATGCCGATCAAGTAGCGATCTGGCGGCATTCTGGGCAGAGCACAACGGATCTTTGTGCAGGGAAGCCGACAGGCGGCGATCTTTACTATTATTGAGATCAGTTAGAGATCAGATAGCGATCCATTAACGCTTTTGGAGATCTGAGCGCTCTATGTGGCGATCTATGGCAATTTGAAAGAGCGCCGCTTAGTGGAATAGGGGTATGGTGACCTACAAAATATTGCTGTGTGCCATATTACCTGCTTGGCAATGTTCGTTCTCTACTTGAACCGAGCGCACGAAATTCATGCAGGTGGACTTAAAGTGTCGATCTGGTTGTGGAATGACGATGGGGAAACACTGGCGGCTGAAAAGATTCAAATCCTTATGCTACATCGTGACACTTCGGCTCAGTTGTGTAGGAAATGTCAGTAAAGTTAGCATTAAAACTTTCCCAATTCGTGCTAAGTTGTAATTTGTGTATTTCGCTGGGAAACTTGGGATAACACTTTCTTAGTAAAGTACAGATTCTCGATTCTCTTTACTAAGAAAGTGTTATCCCAAATATAACATTTGTTACATTTGACCACTTTCTAAATGACATTGTGTGTTCATAGCTTTCGGCCATGGGAGCGGTGCCAATTTACACTTGTCAGAGGGGTACTCAACGTACGTGATCTAGACTACCAGTTGTCGGAATTCATTTTTGTGGAAGCCTCGGAGGCTGATTGCGTTAACATTTGTTACACACTAGATACTATTTCCAATGACACCATATGCAATAATAATGTGTTCTAATAAAACAAATGTCGTTGATCATGAAGGCCAACAATACCATACTATACCTATTCTGGTATTCTGTACCATGTTCTTCAACGGTTTAAGGATTTATACCGAAACTTTATCGCCTTTACAGTTTTAAAGAAGTTGTTATCTATAAATTGTGTCTTCTTTAATATCATTTGAAATGTAAACAAAGACAATGTAATGTAATTTGCCCACCTGAATGGTCGTGGTTGAAAACAGCATCCAACATTTAAAGAACGGCCATACGGACCTGCAACGATTTATTATCTTGTTTATCACACATGCTTATGATATTCTTGAAACAATACAATGGACTCTAGATCTGGTTTAAGAAGCGATTTCTTCTGTGCGGCGTCAGGCAATAAATACCTGCAATTTTATGAAAATTGTATGAATAGTGAGACATGCCTACCCTTTTCGCAAAAACCTGTTGTCATCACTGATTTTCAGTGGTCCATTCTTATAATTTCGACAGTTATTTTGTCCGTAAGCCAAATGGAATCTGTTTCAGCAGACAATCTAGGCAGGTTATTCTCTTGTAATGTTTATATTCAAGGAAACCATTATGGAAATGGCTTGTCCGGTCTGTATTATTATTTACAGATAAAATTAAAAATGCAGCAAAGATGGTTTGGGTGATTCTGGCAGAGTCAGGCTGGTTAGACACATCATCAGCTCAGGGCCCTTGCCCCCTCTACACGCAGCCCAGACAGCAAATGGGACTTCTCCCAGGAAGCGCTGCCTAGTCAAAACCACCCAGAACAGTTCAGACAATGTGAAGACCCCCCAACACTGTAGCCTTCTGTATTACCCAGATTGTCAGAAGGGCTGTATTCCTGGTAGTAAACCCGGATACTCCCCCAATGTCAGTCAACAGATTGAGAGGTACCCAACTTAAGGCACCGAGAACAATGGGGAGTCGGATAATTTGGTACTTCGGATGCCAGCGTGACATTTCGTACGCGAGGCCTGCACATTTGCCATGTTTTTCTTGTCAATCACATTTGTGTCAAAAGGGACAGAAAATTAAATAATATAAATTATTTCATTGAATTTATCATAAAGGAAAAGATGACGCCGTATAGGGCCTATTTCAAAGAAATTTGTATTTATCATTTTCTGTGACGCCCTCTACATATCCCGGGTCGTACCATGGATGGACCTCTGTACCAAAACCATAGGCATTGCGACCACAGAAATAAAATTATCGAGGCACTCCATCATGTCGCTTAAGACACTGTGCTTGTTCCAAAGCTGGGCATCCACTGCCAACGTGTTGGAAAGTCTCATTAAATTCATTGCATAATCTACATTTCATATTTACATTTGGAAGCAAAATCACATATTGACGGTTTTGAGTGGGAAGTGACAGAAAGTCTTCTGTTTCACTTTTCAGGCCACCCGACTTCATCCAAGCGAAGGACTCTGCAGGGTCGCTTAGCTTCTCAACAGACTGCACATCAATAGTCAGAAACATGCAGCAATGAAAAGTATTTCTAAAAGTATTGTATAAATCCTTTTAAAAAGAAGTTCAATAAATAAGGATGTATATGTTATTGTAGCGTTCGGAAATGAAGAAAACAAAATGTGGAAAAATAGTTTCCCAAAAGCGTTTTCTGTTACCTCCAGACAGTTGCTGCGATTGAGTGCTGGAGTGCAACATGAGGTCTTACCTACCATTGAGCTGCTGTGTTGGTGTGCTGGTGATGTCGTGATCCAGGAACTGACCCCACTGCATCAACATGTGGGTGTAGTAGGCGTGGCGGTCAGCGTCTGTTGACGGGGTGTGGACAGTCGTGCTGACCAGGCGGGCACTGGGTAACTTTGAGGACGACCCATGGGATTTTTCTCGTGGGGAAGATATATCTAAAACAGATTCCCGATTAATGAAACCGATACAAAGAACCGAATGATGAGATGAAAAGGACCTTGGCATCCCAAATATGCATCGTGCTAGGTAATGCGTGGCATTGTGCATACCCTGCAAGGTGATAATGGGTTTTAAATCCACGATAATAGTTTTCTGGCACGCCAAATGGGCACACCTTTGCAAATAGCATTACGCATGCGTCACCACTCGCCCCTTTCCGTCACCTGCAAGAAGACTCGTCCCCCTATCGATGAATGTTGTGTGCGAAAATACGACAAACCAATCAGAAAGCGCGTATGATTTCAAGTTCTTCGTCAAAGAATCCCTCAGAAATAATTTTTAATTTTACATATGTCTTGCATCTAAAAATATACCCAAGACACAGTTAAATGTGTTCAGTCATACTGTATAATTCCGCATGTCCCGCTGTGCTTTAAATTGCATCTGAAATATATAAAATATATGGGGAAAATGTGTGAACCATTACGCAACGAGTTGACAATTGTTTTACGTATGCCCGTTTGCGCAAAGACGGAACCCGGTCGCAAAAATGGCCATGAGAGGGGCACGAGTCGCTATTCGGCATGTCCCGGAATAACACGAGTTGGTCACGAATGAGCATTACGGTGCCTTAGACGACTGAGCCATCTTTACCCAAATTTATATTCGAAATAAATTGTGATGTGAACACATTTACGGTCATCATAAGCGGGATCCAGCCATCGCCTCATTGGAATGAATGCCTTGCCCCAGGTTGTATGCTCGAGGTTGTTGCAGGAACCATCAGCTGTCCGGTAGGGGGAGGAGGTTTCGCACGGTTTATCAAGACTGGAAGCGCACCTGAGCTCTGGACCGAAACCTTTCTTCAACACCAAGGGTATTTCCTCCTGTGATACATTCGCTCTGCAATAGTAGACCATGTAACAATTCATGTCCACGAATTACTTGGACATATAAGGCTGCAGTAAACAGACTTTTTGTTATCACAGCTTATTATCGGTGGAGGGAACGATACTGATACATATCATTGATGTGTACAATCTTGGTGAAACAAACGACCACGGGTATTGTTTTGTTTGGTTGTTTGTTTGTTGTTTAACGCCGCACTCAGCAATATTCCAGCTCTATGACGGCTGTTTGTAAATAATAGCGTCTGGACCAGACAATCCAATGATTGACATCATGATCAGGAGCATCGACCCACGAAGTTTGGATACATGACATGCATCAACCAAGTCAGCGAACCTGACCAACCGGTCCCGTTAGTCGCCTCGTATGACAAGCATGGTCGCTTTTTGCGGCAAGCATGGGTTGCTGAAGACCTTTTCTAACCCGGATCATAATGGGTGTACTATTGGTCTGACACTCCAAAGTTAACAATTCAAAATGACGTCAGTCAGGTAGACGTCAAGGAAACACGTAGCTTAGGACATCTCAGTTTCATGGCACGTAGCTAATAATATCCCAGTTTCATGGCACGTATCTAATCATATATCAGTTTCATGGAACGGACCGACTTATTTCCCAGTTTCGTGGTACGTTCCTAATGATTTCCCAGTTTCATGACACGTACCTAATGATATCTCAGTTTCATGGCAAGTAGCATAATGTATAGCAGTTTCATGGCGTGTAGCTAATGATATCACAGCTTCATGGCACGTAGCTAATGATATCACAATTTCATGGCACGTACCTAATGATATCACAGTTTCATGGCACGTAGCTAATGATATCACGTGTCCCTCGCCGTGATATAGATAGAATATTGCGAAAAACGGTGTTAAACCATACTCACTCACGTCATGCTGGAATATTGCTAAAAGCGGCGTAAAACCTTATTCACACACTCACTCACTCAATCCCACTTTATATACAACGCAACGCAAAAATTATGATTAAATGTTATGCCGGCTTTCTTCATTCATTACATTATACATATGTAAAAAGGTTAGGTGCCATTCATGTTGAATATTGCATACACGCCCAACGTCTTTTTATCTACATATATCTACATGTGGCAGTGACCTCATTCTGAAACATATTTGAGGTTCCACTGATACCGCAAGGGAAACTGTCATAATAGCACTGTTCCTACAGATAGTCGCACGGCTTTAATCACATATGATGCAAGGAGGCAGAAAGCGCAATTAAGACGGGAGTCATGTAACTATTTCCATTGAATAATTACAAAAACAGTGAGAAAACCCTTGCCATAATCATAGGAAATCTGCTAAATGTATGATTCTCCTTAAAGTGTCAATCTGCTAAAAGTATGATTCAGATAAAAGTATGATTCTGCTAAAAGTGTGATTCTGCTAAAAGTGTGATTCTCCTAAAAGTATGATTCTGCTAAAACTGTGATTCTGCTTAAAATGTGATTCTCATAAAAGTGTGATTCTGCTTAAAGTTTAATTCTCCTAAAAGTGTGATTCTGCTTAAAGTGTGAATCTGCTAAAAGTGTGATTCTGCTAAAAGTATGATTCTGCTAAATGTATGATTCTCCTAAAAGTGTCAATCTGCTAAAAGTATGATTCAGACAAAAGTATGATTCTGCTAAAAGTGTGATTCTGCTAAAAGTGTGATTCTCCTAAAAGTATGGTTCTGCAAAAGCTGTGATTTTGCTTAAAGTGTGATTCTCCTAAAAGTGTGATTCTGCTAAAAGTGTGATTCTGCTAAAAGTATGATTCTGCTAAAAGTATGATTCTCCTAAAAGTATGATTCTGCTAAAAGTGTGATTCTGCTAAAAGTGTGATTCTGCTAAAAGTATGATTCAGATAAAAGTGTGATTCTGCTTAAAGTGTGAATCTGCTAAATGTGTGATTCTGCTTGAAGTGTGATTCTGCTTGAAGTGTGATTCTGCTAAAAGTGTGATTCTGCTAAAAGTAGGATTCTGCTAAAAGTAGGATTCTGCTAAAAGTGTGATTCTGCTAAAAGTATGATTCTGCTAGAAGTGTGATTCTGCTAAAAGAATGATTCTGCTAAAAGTGTGATTCTCCTAAAAGTGTGATTCTGCTGAAAGTGTGAATCTGCTAAAAGTGTGATTCTGTTAAAAGTAGGATTCTGCTAAAAGTAGGATTCTCCTAAAAGTAGCATTCTGCTTTAAAGTGTGAATCTGCTAAAAGTATGATTCAGATGAAAGTGTGAATCTGCTAAATGTGTGATTCTGCTTGAAGTGTGATTCTCCTGACAGTGTGATTCTGCTAAAAGTGTGATTCTGCTATAAGTAGGATTCTGCTAAAAGTGTGATTCTGCTAAAAGTGTGATTCTGCTAAAAGTATGATTCTGCTAACAGTGTGATTCTGCTAAAAGAATGATTCTGCTAAAAGTGTGATTCTGCTAAAAGTGTGATTCTGTTAAAAGTATGATTCTGCTAAAAGTATGATTCTCCTAAAAGTGTGATTCGGCTAAAAGTGTGATTCTGCTAAAAGTATGATTCTCCTAAAACTACGATCTACTAAAAGTTTGATTCTCCTAAAAGTGTGATTCTGCTAAAAGTATGATTCTGCTAAAAGTATGATTTTGCTAAAAGAAGGTTTCTCCTAAAAGTATGATTCTGCTAAAAGTATGATCCTGCTAAAAGTGTCATTCTCCTAAAAGTGTGATTCTGCTAAATGTATGATTCTCCTAAAAGTATAATCCTAAAAGTGTGATTCTGCTTAAAGTGTGATTCTGCTTAGAGTGTGATTCTGCTTAAAGTGTGATTCTGCTAAGAGTGTGATTCTGCTTAAAGTAGGATTCTACTAAAAGTATACTTCTGCTAAAAATGTGATTCTCCTAAAAGTGTGATTCTGCTGAAAGTGTGAATCTGCTAAAAGTGTGATTCTGTTAAAAGTAGGATTCTGCTAAAAGTAGGATTCTCCTAAAAGTAGCATTCTGCTTTAAAGTGTGAATCTGCTAAAAGTGTGATTCTGCTAAAAGTGTGAATCTGCTAAAAGTATTATTCAGATAAAAGTGTGATTCTGCTTAAAGTATGAATCTGTTAAATGTGTGATTCTATTAAAAGTATGATTCTGCTAAGAGTATGATTCTGCTAAAAGTGTGATTCAGATAAAAGTGTGATTCTGCTAAAAGTGTGAATCTGCTAAGAGTGTGATTTTCCTAAAAGTGTGATTCTGCTTAAAGTGTGATTCTGTTAAAAGTATGATTCTGCTAAAAGTATGATTCTGCTAAAAGTATGATTCTAGTATAAGTATGATTCTGTTAAAAGTGTGATTCTCCTCAAAGTGTGAATCAAAAGTATGATTCTGCTAAATGTGTAATTCTGCTTAAAGTGTGGTTCTACTTAAAGTATGATTCTCCTAAAAAGTATGATTCTGCTAAAAGTGTGATTCTCGTAACAGTGTGATTCTGCGAAAGTTATGATTCTGCTAAATGTGTGATTCTCCTAAAAGTGTGATTCTTATAAAAGTATGATTCTGCTAAAAGTGCGATTCTGCTTAAAGTGTGATTCTCCTAAAAGTGTGAATCTGCTTAAAGTGTGTTTCTTCTAAAAGTATGATTCTGCTAAAAGTGTGATTCAGATAAAAGTATGATTCTGCAAAAAGTGTGATTCTGCTAAAAGTATGATTCTCCTAAAAGTATGATTCTGCTAAAAGTGTGATTCTCGTAACAGTGTGATTCTGCGAAAAGTATGATTCTGCTAAAAGTATGATTCTGCTAAATGTGTGATTCTACTAAAAGTGTGATTCTCCTAAAAGTATGATTCTGCTAAAGGTGTGATTCTCCTAGAAGTGTGATTCTGCTTAAAGTGTGATTCTGCTAAGAGTGTGATTCTGCTAAAAGTGTGATTCTCCTAAAAGTGTGATTCTGCTTAAAGTGCCAATCTGCTAAAAGTGTGAATCTGCTAAAAGTGTGATTCTTCTAAAAGTGATTCTGTTGCTTTTATTTGATTATTTCACCGAGAAAGCAACGGGATTTCATTGGATCAATGGGTTTTAAGATATCATGTCCAGTGATGAATACACGCGTTGTTTCGGTTTATGAATCGAAGCGCCCTATACTTTTAAAGATATTTTAGTTGTCTAACTACATGGTTTTAAATGGTATAAATTCGGAAGCATGCTTACGCCTGCAGCAACTGTGTAACTTCTAGGACATTGATGCGATGGTTGTTTCCCTTTGTTATACTCTCAGGTGCTGTGAATGTGAACTTGTTGAGCTGGTCCGTTGTAGAGCCAGGTTCTGAAGCAGATCGGTCTGTGGAGAGAAATATTCATGAATCATGGTATTTGGAGTGAGTGAGTGAGTATGGTTTTACGCCACTTTTAGCAATATTCCAGCAATATCACGACGTGGGACACCAGAAATGGGCTTCACACTTTGTACCCATGTCGGGAATCGAACCCGGGTCTTCGGCGTGATGAGCGAACGCTTTAACCACTAGGCTACCCCAGCGCCCCAATGCTATTTGGAAGAAGCAGTGAACACTTTCAGGTGTCAGGCCATTTCTTTAAATTATTCAAACAGCCATATAAACATCTGTATAAAGTTCACAAAACGGTACAGAGTAGCAATATTTTATTTAATCTGACAGGCCGCCTCCGTGGTCTAATGGTAGAGCGGCCGCCCGGAGATCGGAAGGTCCGGGGTTCGATCCCCAGCCGCGTCATACCAAAAGACGTTAAACGATGGTACTTGTTGTTACCCTGTCTGGCGCTCGGCATTTAGGGGCTAAAACAAGGACTGGTCGGCTCGGAGTCAGTATACTGTGTCTGAGTGGGGTATTCATGTTAAACTGCGGCATGGTATCTCAGTGTGCTAGCACTATAAATCGGCATCAGTCCGGACTAGTACAAGCAGCCAAACACACACATACACATAAGTGAAATAATCTGGGACGCGACGTTAAACCCAATTTCACCTCACCTCACCTTTAATCTAATAAGTTGTTGATCCTAACGATTTAATGTACTGTAAATGAATTATTCTCTTTTTAAAAAGTTTGGTTTCACCTTTTAAAATGACCTTTATAAAATCATCAATTGTCACGGCGTTTCATACGTTTGCAATGAAAAGAACAAGCACTACACGAAGGAACAGTAATAATCCACTGTGACAAACATTCGAAATATACCTATCACTTGCCGAAAATTTGCACATATTAACAAGGGTCTTGAAATAAAAGAATATTCACGTCACTATGCACATGTACAGCAGAAGTGTACAAGTGTTTGCATTTTCTAACGTTTGCAATAATCGTATATACTGTACATGTAAGTAACTGATTTCAAAACCATTGAAACATTACATTATCGGGTTTAGATTTATAATGTTTCAAACGCACCTACATTTTCGGTGATAGGTGGACGGTTGACTGCAATATTGGCAACAATTAACATCTATTTCAATCAGCATCTCTAACTGTGTGCGGGTATCCCATGTGTACGCTTGGTGGATTTTCGGTTTGATTTTGTAAATCAATCTGCCCTTTTTACCTGTGCCCCATACTTCTGGGGCTGTGGGGGCTTTGATTTTACTTTTTAGATGTTTAGTTTACTAAAGGAAAAAGGCTCTACCCTCGATTTGTCAAGAGCTAGCTTCGCCAGTGTATCTGACTTTTCATTTCCATGAATGCCTCATCATTCTATACACAGATCAGCGAATATTTTAAACAAAGAAAAGTCTCACAACCAAGAAAAATGAGTGAGTGAATGAGTTGGGTTTAACGCCGCTTTTAACAGTATTCCAGTTATATCACGGTGTGTCAGCTTAATGTGGGAGGAAAGCCCGGAGTGATGCAGGTCTCAGACGTTTACCACTTCGGTGAAACCCACGAGCACGGGTATGGTGCTGACAAACCTAGAAACATAATCGGGGCGAACCGGGATTCGAACCCACAATCAGAGGTTTCTGGGGTGCCCAAGGGATGCAACCGCGGCGCCTTAGGCGACTGGGCCCCCTGTGCCCCCAAGAAAAATGAGACGGGACCGCGAATAAACCCCACTAAAGAAATAGCATGTTTCCGAACATTGTTTTCTCACCAAATAGAAAATTCATACATTTTGTTTAATTGTGGTTAGTTGGTTGTTTTACGCCGCACTCAGCAATATTCCATTTATATGACGGCGGTCTGTAAATAATGGAGTCTGCACCAGACAATCCAGGGATTGATATCATGAGCATCGATCCACGCAATCGGGATCAATGACATGCTTCAGACAGCGAGCCTGACCACCCGATCTCTCTTACAACAAGCAAAGTCGCCTTTTAATTGTAAATAGGAGAAAGTCTGAGGGTTAAATAAGGTGAAGGTGGGTTCTATTTGTTTTGGACGTGTGCAGCCGATCATGGTCGTGAACGGAGCCTTGCTTGTCAGTGTGCAAACAGAGGTTCGGACTTGTTCGATCTTGCGTGTAATTCTTTAGGACTAGAGATAATTTATGGAGCCTCTTTTTACACAGTCTCCGCTGTATTTTCGTTTCAGCCTTTGAAATTGACAGACAGGACTAAAGTCAAAATTAACCCTATTTACGCGCCGCTTTTAGATATTTTGACTACGACGTTTGCATTGACGATGTTACGATCTGCAGTGGTCAACCTACACATGTGCCTTGCACTTAATAAATGGCTAAGAGTGCGTGTCATGTCAAGGTTTTGAATATTGTGAATGCGAAATGTATGGGGGAACACTCCTCACACCTGCATGTGCATTGAGATTATGGTTTGCTATGCTGATCGTTTCTATGTAATCAAATAACTATACAGTTGCGTTATGAACAAAGATCGCTTGTACAAACGTTTACAGACTGAATTTTATATTGTGTCTCAAAGAAAAATAGAGAAGGAGAGAAATAAGTGAGTCTAGACAGCGTTACCATAAAACGGGGCGTGGTATGCATTCGTGCATTAGTTTTGAAAATAATTTCATAACCCTTTGTATCCAATATTGTATCCAGTCATAAATTTAAATGATAAGATTTCAAAGGCACATTCACTGAAAGATCAGGGCTACAATATTTTGATCTGGTGTCAATTCTTTACCTGAAAACAAATTTGAATTTTTTTTTGTGACGATGACATTTCCATTGCCAACGACGTCTCGAATGAAATTGAACGGGGCTTCTTTTGCTAGATGAAATTAGCGTATCCAAACGGCACCCAACCTTTTTTTCTCTCCCCACCACTGAATGCACAATACATAAAATATCAATCGCAGTGCTATCGACGCTGTAGTCGTATTATAACTTTGAACATATATCCAGAATTCAGATGGTACATGCAGGTCGTGATAACCGTTACTTGGTCCCCTTGCTTCGCCTTGGTATTGTTATTACCGTTAATGACGCGATTTCCTCAGATTGAGGTTTTTAAATTGGCTAGGTTCTGAGTCTATTACATATCCGTTTCGTAAACTTCGCAAATGACGTTACCTTATATTACGGCGTTTTCACTACTTACTATTTAATACTTGGAGCAATAAAGTAAAAGTGTTTCAGTAAGACCTAGAATTGCTGAACTTGAAATTGAAACACAACACAATGACGCTAACGTTACGGGATCCATATCCACAGCTCAAAACCCAAAACACATTCAGTTCGCCTGCCTGACGGTCTGTCAGTATTCACTGTTGAATTGGAGGCAATTCATCATGCACTCAAACTCATATCAGTCTCACTAAGTGCACTTCAAGCCACCACCTACTCCCTTTAGTAAAATAGAGATCAAAATCAATATCAAAACCTCTATAGCCCAAAGTTGGCAAGCCCAGTGGGACGCAAGTAAGATCTGCAGATGGACATACAAAATTCAACCCAAGATCCAACAAATGCCAAACTCATACTCAGATGACAAGAACGTTGACATTGCCATCTCTCGCCTCAGACTAGGTGGTTACAAAAAGCACTATGACAAGGTTTGTTCATCTTGCAATCTGGCTGAATCTATTGCTCACTAAGTCAAGACCATGACCCTGGCCGGGCTCGGTTAAAACAGGAACTGCAGTTAGATCTGTCGTAGATCTCCTAAAGCCAAGAAATGCAATAGCGTCCAAACTAACTCTATTTCTGAGAGATGGACATCTACTCGAACGTATATAAACAGAGCAGCCAAAGATAAAAATGAAAATATATCAATATACGAAAAGAGAAATCATATCAATACAAAAACAGAAATTATGTGAATACCAAACACAATAAATATATGTACCCTTCTCACCAACATGAGTCCCAAAGAGGGACAGGACGGCTGAAATTGTTAAGGCAGAATGCGACCTCTTAAACACTTAAAGCAACAACAATGACAGGCAATACCATGATCAGGTATGGCGAATGCAATATATATAGTTAGTTATGATTCCTCTCTATCCTTCATGGTGGTAGATGAGCGCATCATGCAGGCTTCAAATAATCGATGAACAGAAAGAAGAAAGGCTGCGTGCACTTGAGGTGCACAGACAGAGGACACTGCTAATTATGGATAATTTGCTGTTGAAACTTGGTCCAACTTCACTTTGATACAATGAGGACATCAATGTTCAGAGAACCACCTCCAGCTCCAGATGGACTAACGCAAGCTGGTTGTGGCAGTGGATCAGGGTCTTAGACACGAGAATGACACAGTTTTGAACAATGAGAGAGTGACGGAGTGAGTATTGTTTTACGCCGCTTTGAGTAATGTTCAAGCAATATCACGGCCGGGGACAACAGAAATGGGCTTCACAAATTGTACCCATGAATCGAAGGGAATCCAACCCACCACAAATACTGCTGCTTAGTGTCGCCTACAATGTACGTCAAAGTTTTCATTACACCTGATAAGCCGTTGAGCGGCGATATATCTTGAAAGGAATTTTGACAAGCACAAATGTCTTGACTCTGTTTTTGTATATATTTATAGTGAGTGAGTGAGTGAGTTCGGTTTAACGCCGCTTTTAACAGTATTCCAGTTATATAACGGCGTGTCAGCTTAATGTGGGAGGAAAGCCCGAAGTGATGCAGGTCTCAGACGTTTACCACTTCGGTGAAACCCACGAGCCCGGGTATGGTGCTGACAAACCTAGAAACATAATCGGGACGAACCGAGATTCGAACCCACAATCATAGGTTTCTGGTGTGCCCGAGTGACGCAACTCTGCACAGCGAATCGGGCCACCCGTGCCCCCGTATATATTTATATACCATTTGGAGTCTCATGAATGTGTGCATTCCAAACCTTCCCAAACTAGGCACACATGTATATATAACCAAATTATATGGAAAAGTACTTGGATATGTGTGCATTTACATTGTACATTAATTCCATCACAGTTCCAAAACGGCGGGAAATGAACTCTTTCGTGTCGTGCAAGTTTCTTACTCTTTGTGTGAAGAGTATTAGAAACGCTGCGATAGTTATATATTGGAAGTTTAATAAATATTCTTCCATGAATTTGGAATTTACTAGATTCAGATTGGTCAATCAGAGGCTATTTAATCACAATAAACTTCTCTGATTGGAACAGCTGGTTTGACGCCCGCATCACCTCGGAAGCTAATATTCATAGAATAGTACCATCTTCAGTCATTGTCGTTAGGCATATTTAAATAATTATATCTACAATTACAGGCTACAAAATGCACATATGCGGTTACTATAATATTCAAAGGATGTGTGGCAATATATTTCGTGCAGAAAACACGATAGAAATCTACAAAGTATGTATGTATGTATGTATGTATGAAATTAGAGTTGAAACTTGATAACAACTAATGTGACAAGGCTATCCGAGTACTTCACAATATCTTGTGGGCGAGCATGTTTTCATGTGTGTATTTGTACAGATGCTTATGAAATAGTCGGAATCGTACAATGTTTTTTGACGTTTTTATTTATTCATAGAATGTTTTTCATTATTTTTTCTCCAATACCCCATTGGACAATGTAAGGTTGGGAAGGATCTTAAAAAGATCTTAATGCATTGATAGTTCGTATGATGTTACAGGAAAGTGACCTTAATGAACTGTGTCACTTCCCACTCACTATTGCCCTGATATTATCACTCACTCACTCAACAAATATCTCAGGAGGCATCACATGGCAATTGTAACTAATAACACAATCAACGGTTTTACAGACCACGGCCTGAAACTGATGTATAAAGGTGACACCTCTTGTAGACCTGACATTCATTCGACCTAAAGCTCTCAGTTTCGTGATACACGACAAAAGATGTCAACCTACTATTTCACCCTGTAAAGTATACCTTACCTAATACCGCAAAGGCACTTTCTTGACTCCGTTCTTCCTCAAGCTGAACTCTGGCCTGAGTAGCAGCCGCTTCCAGTTGTTGTGAACTGAGACTGATTCGCCCAATGTTGTCGCTGAGGTCTAGAGAGGCCAATGCTGCATCAGTTTTAGCCACCATCAGCAGCAGAATCAGCTGCGAACCAAGGGCTGCCCGCTTCAGCATTGTAGTTCTACATAATTACAATAGAAGACCTTTTACACTTAAAGTAGATGCTAGTGACACGATTCTCAAAATATAATACGGCTTCCTGGTACGAATGCATTTTTTTACATATAACTGTATCCACTATATATAATAATCCATGCTTTTATCTGATGTACAGAGTCCTATATCTATCAGGCATAATTGTATGGTTTGTTTCCCAACAACATTTTGCATATATGGGTGTACATTCTCATAAATTTGAATGATGCATACGTGGTCGATAAGCTCCTACAAACTCCTGCCAATTACCTATTCATAATGTTTACATAAAATGTCCTATCCTTGAAACCGAATAGCCCCTTGTGGATTCCTGGGTTAGACTTTGTCACCAGCAATCTGTGCTAGTCGTAAGAAGCGACCAAATATATGGATTGGTCAAGTTTGTTGACTTAAAAGCTTGGTTGATCGTGTGTCACAGCACCCGACGTGGATCGTTGCACATAATATCAATCACTGGATTATTTGGAGTGACGCGAACCAATTACTTAATAAGTTATGCAATAATAATGTAATAACAGCTATGTTTGACTTTCAAAATAGTTGTCAAGCCTTTTAAGGTCTACCTGTATGACAGATATATTATCACAAGCACAGTATTATCTATTACTGGAAATACGAATATTCTGCTTAGCGGCATGTAGGCGAAACATTACCATTAACAATCTATTAATTACCCCTGTTGTAAACAAGTAAAATGCATGTACACTAACGCAGATTCACTCCTCGGTAATACTTACCTCAGACAGATCAACTCTTGTGCGTGTTGTCTCTGACAGTAGTCTTCTTTCAATGGCCTATGACTTGCGTTGTGGTGCTCTATATCTTGACGACCGTTGACGTTGACGATTCTCCCAGCGACAAATCAGCGAGAAGTACAAGTAAGCTGCAAACTACATACGTGGACAATGTGCGTCAAATGATTAAGGGACACGGAGATAGCTGGTACTCAAATATATAAGCTTACATCGAATATACCTCAATATGTCTTCAAGTTTCTCATTAGAGACAAAGCAATTGTTTCAGGATCTGTTGTTTCTGTAGGTTTGCCAAACTTCAAATGAAGTAAAATGTCCAATGACTTTATGCCCAATCCTCCGTCTACATAGAGAATGTACCGCCTCGACATTGCATCAACATACCTAGAAAAATAATCCTAGCGGACAAGGGCTTCAGACGACTGAGCCACCCGCCCACCTACCCCTAATTAACACATGCAGATCCGATAGAAAGATTACATTTGTTGACTAGTATGATATCTAAAATGCAAAGAACTATTTTCACGCTCGTAGTAAGGTGACGTCATATGGAGTGAAATAGTGACGTCATCTATTTGTTCTATGACGTTTCCGTTCTTGGGTAAGTGGGTCAGTGACATTCGTTGTGTGTTGAATGCCGATGTTGTTGTTAATTTTTTATTTCATAACAAATTCTGTCCATTATAGCTATGACAACGGAAAGGCTATTTATCAGGGCATTATCATTTGCAGAAGACCTCGGGCTTCTGCAAATGATAATGCCCTGAAAATAGCCATGCCCTTATGTTAGTCTGCAGCCTCCGGCAATGGTATCAGATGCAAACAGGTGAAGTATATATTTTTTTTACGATGAACTCAAAGCATATTGTTCAGTACGTGGTTGCATTTCTATGTCACAGACAGCGTTAGAGACCCTTTCGCAATATATAATGTGGATATCTGTGTTTGATCTTACAACAAGACTTGCGAAGTGACGATGTGACTCTTCCCTTCTGATACATCTACGTAAATCTACGATCAATTACTCAGTATATGAATTATAACATGAAACTAAACAGTTCATTTCATGTTTTAAATTACGCTTGTCTTAACCCACTTATACTTAGTAACCATTACAAACCGATAGTGTTCGTCAAACCGGATCTACATTACATGGTGTAGTATATATTTACGAAAAGAAACATTCACAACTGTGAAGATCAAACATCTGAAGGATGACGAAACTCGTGTAAACACAATAAACTTTCATGTTTAATCATGCCCTGTGATTTATATTAGTTTAAATTGAGAAACAACTTCCTGAATTGTCTCTCTACGGTTCCAATTTCTACCAATACATGTTGATGCATATACCTCACTTTGTTTATGCCTAGCTCAGACATTGTCAAACCAGGAAGTTAGATAATTTTACAAAAACATTTAGGTCAACGGAATCTAATGTTACTATGTTTGCACATGCCGGCGTCTTGCTGTATGTACGATGTGGTGTTTTATTATGTACGTTTGCATGTCTGGTTATTGTCTAATTCAATATATTGTGTAACGGCTATAATATTGAATGTGTAACGGCTATTTTATTGAATGTGTACAGATGTGTTCACATTGACTGGTAGAAGGGCGTAGACGTCTTGTGTCTTTTGTCTTGTGTATTATATATGTGCATGGGCATGTCCTTACCCTTTGTGAATGTGTGGGGAGTAGGGGTGGAGGGGAGAGGGAGAGGGTGTATTTCACACTCTTTACCCTCGACCAGCTCGTGTTCTTCATTTCTCAGAAAAACCTAATTGTTCTGGGAATAGGTATTCGTGTTATTTATTCTCTGTAAATGGATAAATGCTGTTTCGCACGAAATGAAAAGTTCATTTGTTGCTGGGTGGGGGCAGGATTATAGATGTGTCTTAACAGATTTGTTATTTCTTCTCCAACTTATCAAGATCCTTGTGCTGTGTTGAATTGTTGATAAGTCTAACATATTTGTTATTTCTTGTCAAACACTGTAGAAGAGAGACATTAAATGGTTGATAGAGTGAGACAAAGGGAGAGAGAGAGCGAGAGAGAAAGAGGGTGAGAATGTGAGAGAGAGAAAAAAAGAGAGAGAGAAAGTCAGAGAGGGAAATAGAAAGATAGAGTGGGAGAGAGGTTGTTTAAAAAAGGAGAGAAATGCATTGGATAAACATGTGTTTACAGAAGTTTTTTAGTGGTTCATTTACATAATATACATTTATTGTTGGTCCTGCCATATACTAGTATATAGTTTCTTAATCTGTAACTATTTGCTCTGCATTGCCATATAACAGCAACTTTAAATCAAGAAGTATGTTATGAACTTATAATTTAAACAAATATGGTACTACATATTACATAATGTACAATTTGTCTTGATCTCTCCACCAACATTTGGATATTACTTATACTTTAAAAAAATATAATATGAGAGACTAAATTAAAAAAATTAATACGCATGCCGTCAAGCGTGACAACGGTGTAAGAATCTACATCGAAACGTCGTTTTTGTTGTTATCCAAAACGTTGCACGTTCTACTTAGTCTTTTACTTCTAGACTCCCAATTAAACAGTTAAAACATGCTATTCTCTTGTTAATATAAAAACACCTTTCGTCTGTGTGTTACAGCACAATCAATAGAATAAACAATTGTATTAAATCATAAAACACACGTTTTTTATGTCGATTCTGCTGCTTGTTTACGCCTGTGCATTTGTTTATATACTATTATCGTGCAGATTTCGTTGCTGAGTATTTTTTTTTTATTAAACGTTAATTAACATAGGTTAAAATAATTATGCCCAAACAAATCTATTTATCAACTCAATGTGTGATGAAAGCTGGTATAAATATTGTCATTTTGGGTAGAATCACCCAATTTTGTTCTTGCTGTAGAGGTGATGTTGTACGTGTATCTGGGGCGTACGTCTCTGCGATGTAACAAAGTCAACTTTCTGAAAACCTGCATGTTTTTTTTATAAATTCAGCCATACATATCTGTCATTATATGCACAATTTAGTAAAAACATGTAATTTGAGAAAACTCAATATTCTCGTAAGAAACGGCATGAGGTTAAGTTGTTTTCATGATCACATGGTTCATTAGTTAAATCTATACAGTTGGTCGTGTGTATCCATGGGTGTACATATTTGACCCGTGAAGATCCGGGGTAGAAAATGTCTTCAGCAACCCATGCTTGCCGTAAAAGGCGACTGTGCTTGTCGTAAGACGCGACTAACGGGATCGGGTGGTCAGGCTCGCTGACTTGGAAGATGCATGTCATCGATCCCAATTGCGTGGATCGATGCTCATGATATCAATCACTGCATTGTCTGGTCCAGACTCGGTTATTTACAGACCGCCGTCATATAGCTGGAATATTGCTGAGTGCGGCGTAAAACAACAAACCAACCAATCAACCAACTTATTTGACACCAGGTGGAGTGTGCTGAAAGAGGGAAAGCGGCCCGTCAACACATTACATTTAAGAAGCCTTTCAAAATCTGATGCTTGTCTATGTATTGGACCAGCCTGGTACACATCTCAGAGACAGGAACAAGTGTTGTGAGTTGTTGGTTAAAATATTTATCATTAACATGCTAAAGCTATTACAGCGGTTTTGAATGCGTGAAGTTCTGTCAACGTAATACGTTGTGTGGTTGTTTATCCGGGTATCGAATACCCAGTACACAATAACATTATAAGAAAACGGCAGTCGTGTTTTTCTGCTTTCATTGGCTAGAGTAGATCCCGGAACCATTCACATCGTTAAACTTCAGTGATTCACTAAGGCTTTTCGTATCGCCTGCCGTTCTGCTTATGTAAAAGAAAAAAACCTCCCCCACTGAGCGCGGCATCATGGACATTAAATCGATCTGGTTCACCTTTTGTAGTTTAGATTATACACTAAGTTTATTGAAATGCGTCTTTTTTTCAGTGTTGTGGAGACACGGGTGACTTAGTGCTCATGGATCTGCATTCACTGGTCCTAATTTTCTGCCTTGTTCTAGACATTGTAATTAAACAACATGAAGGAAGCTAGTAATTGGAATAATCTGCTAAAAAACTGCTAAATTAATGTACACGCGTCTTTCAAGAAGCAGACAAAGACACAAGTGTTGGTTAAAATTTCAGAATAAAATTTGCTGGGACTGCCAATTTGCCGACACTTGATCCCCTTTCATAAAGCCTGTCGGGTCTCGTCCCACTTTAATATAGCCTGTCGGACCTCGTCCCCCTTTCATTTAGCCTGGCGGGCCTCGTCCCCCTTTAATATAGCATGGTGGGCCTCGTCCCTCTTTCATATAGCCTGGCGGGCCTCGTCCCCCTTTAATATAGCCTGTCGGGCCTCGTCCCCCTTTCATTTAGCCTGGCGGGCCTCGTTCCCCTTTAATATAGCCTGGCGGGCCTCGTCCCTCTTTAATATAGCATGGTGGGCCTCGTCCCTCTTTAATATAGCCTCGTTGGCCTCGTCCCTCTTTAATATAGCATGGTGGGCCTCGTCCCTCTTTCATATAGCCTGGCGGGCCTCGTCCCCCTTTCATTTAGCCTGGCGGGCCTCGTCCCTCTTTAATATAGCATGGCGGGCCTCGTCTCCCTTTAATATAGCATGGTGGGCCTCGTCCCTCTTTAATATAGCCTCGCTGGCCTCGTCCCTCTTAAATATAGCATTGCGGGCCTCGTCCCTCTTTAATATAGCCTCGCGGGCCTCGTCCCTCTTAAATATAGCATGGCGGGCCTCGTCCCTCTTTAATATAGCATTGCGGGCCTCGTCCCTCTTTAATATAGCCTCGCGGGCCTCGTCCCTCTTTAATATTGCCTGGCGGGCCTTAACATTGATGAAAAACTAGATTGATATATTTGACGTTTTATTTGATGCTTCGTGTATGCTGGGAGTCTCAATTCGGAACTTTCGTGGATTTCATCACGGTCATCTAAGCACATGCCATGTCCTGGGTGACAAGACCAGAACACAGACAGGCAGTGACCGTCATACTCTCCTCCTCGCCAAACAGAGGATGCGCAAACATAGCAGCTGCTTCGTCTTCGCCATCCACCCGAATCGATGAACGCTGCCTCCGCAAACACCCGTTTGTGCAAGAACAGTGTCGTGACCGTCTTCCTCTGCGGCACTCACTCCATGGACCCCAGCTTCCTTCATCACACGGATTCAGATTGCACGCCTTCTTCTCAGCACTCTGGCCAATACAGCTGCAGGTGGAGCAGGAGCGTGTCCTCGTCTGTTGGCCTCCGTCACATCCGCCCCATGTCTGCCAGGTCGTCCACAAACCCAGGGGCTGGGTCTCCCTCCAGTGTGTCAGGTTAATCTCATCCAGGGTGCTGCACCACACGCTTGAACAAAAAGAAGTCCACAATTAGCAACTGAGAAAAACACATGGATTGGTGCACCTATTTATCATTACAGTTTTAAGACAATGTTCTTCATGTGACTCTTCATGGTAGTCCGTTCGGAGAGCTCTCTATGCCATTGCTGTCGCCAGTGACAGCTCCCGAGCGGCCTACAACCAAGCAGAAATTGAACTCGCAACCGCCTGGCAAGTAATGACGTTGAATGCTCTTGCCCCTGCTGATTTGTTTTGTTTGTTTGTTTTAGTTTTTGTTTATCAATTCAAAATTCTATTTTATTTCAACTATCATTAATAAGAACGTAAGGGGGACGATTGGTGCTTTCCAACTGTCTGCAATCCCGAACCAATCTGATGAAATTACCAACGTAAATTCATCTGATAATTATAATTATGCCAGTCGTCAACCTTTCCCAATTCACTAGAATGGCCTTCCCAAAGATACACACTAAAATGTAAATCCTACTTCCTTTGGGGTTAGGGAGGGACAGTTTCTTCTTGCAACGGCCACTTGACCAAAGGTGGCAGAGATGAGTAGGGTAACGAAGGAGTTTGATGTGCTTTTTGGTGAAATAATAAAGGAGTGCATGCATAACGTTACAGGCAGCATTACTCGAGGTCCCTAAATAAAGCCGGTCTGCATCAAGCCAGTGCACGATCCCTACCAACAGGGTAAGAGGACACACGATCATCCAAGTCAACGAGCCTGACCATCAAATCCATCTCTGTCGACTCTTACGACAAACATAGTAACTGGGGACCAATTCTACACCAGAATTCCTGTGGTTATTTGATAAAGGAAGATGCCGGATAATTATTGATTCACCCTCACGAGTGTTTTGGGACAGATAAGGTACCCAGTGTTTCGTGCTTTCCATCATGTCAGCCTTCACTAAGATGATAATGTACCCAGTGTTTCGTGCTTGCCATGTCAGCCTTCACTAAGATGATAATGTACCCATTGTTTCGTGCTTGCCATGTTAGCCCTCACTAAGATGATAATGTACCCAGTGTTTCGTGCTTGCCATGTCAGCCTTCACTAAGATGATAATGTACCCAGTGTTTCGTGCTTGCCGTGTTAGCCTTCACCAAGATCATAATGTACCCACTGTTTCGTGCTTGCCATGTTAGCCTTCACTAAGATGATAATGTACGCAGTGTTTCGTGCTTGCCATGTCAACCTTCACTAAGATGATAATGTACCCAGTGTTTCGTGCTTGCTATGTCAGCCTTCACTAAGATGATAATGTACCCAATGTTTTGTGCTTGCCATGTCAGCCTTCAGTAAGATGAAATATTTGGCTTTGGTGTACGTCGGCGATATTGACTGCATGCTGACGTGATATAGCTGTGATTATAGTGTGGATTAAAGCGTAAGTCATAAATACTTACAACCATTATTCACAACAGATATACTTTACACACACCTATAGCTTTGCAATAAATGAGTGAGGACGAACAATTTCTTTGATACAAATTAGGAGCGACATTTCAGTGTTGATTCTGACACTGTTATTAAACAAGTGCTGGACCCTACACCGAAACGTCGCTCCGAATGTGCATTAAAGAAATTTGTATTAAAGAGGTTGTTCATCCATATACCCAATCCTCACCTAGTACTCCAACCTCTAAATGCCTCTCAAAGAAGTTAATGACTGAGCGGAAATACCTCTGGTCGAATGCTATCATCAGACCTATCACCAGTATTAACAATCTAGTCTCTTACAGTTTCACTCAAACTGATTCATGGACATAACAAGAAGGTAATAGTTCCTATTCATCAACCAAAATATGGCAAGCACGAAACACTGGGTACTTTATCTTAGCCGGAACACTCGTGAGGGCGAATCATTAATTATCCAGCATCTTCCTTTATCAAATAACCATATGAATTCCGGTGTAGAATTGGTCCTCAGTTACTATGCTTGTCCAGAGATATTAAATTGATCAGATCAAGCGATATCTCCTTGGTAATATCAATGAAATAAAACTGCATAACAATGGTTGGCAGACCATTGTGACACTGAAGGCTCTGATTACTGCTGTTCAACTGACAGAGTGAGTAGATCAATGACAAACATAGTCTCACCTCCTGTCTTTTACAAATTATTAAATATATAAACACTCGTCCACAAAAGTGTGAACTTGCAACGTGTGTGTAATGCTGTATGGGGAAGCTTCTGCCACAGTGGCCATCCTCATCGTGAAATCGCGTGTTGCAGAATCCAGCGTTCATTACCCAAATGTATGCAATGGGTGAAACCCATTTTTCTGGCACAGTCGTGATGTGACTAGAATTTTGATAAAGCGTCGTAAAATTTGTTTATCCACCCATTCGGTATTCATAGCATCTCCAGCCACATATGGTTGACACATGTCTCATTAATATGTGAAATGAATTACTAACAGTAAACCTACGGGAACATCCCTTAATTTAGTCCGCAGATGTCACAAAGATCGTTTGAATAGCGCAGAGATGTCAGATTCATTACAGTACACGCAACTGTGCACAAAATTGTTTTTGTTTGTTTGTTTGTTTGTAGTTTAACGCCGCACTCAGCAATATTCCAGCTATATGACAGCGGTCTGTAAATAATCGAGTCTGGACCAGACAATCCAGTGGTTAATATCATGAGCATCGATCCAAGCAATTGGGATCGATGACATGCATCAACCAATTCAGCTTTTTACAAGCAGAGTCACATGTTGTATCATAATACTGTATCGATGTGTTTCAGTGGGGAAATGTACGTAACAGCTTTTATTTTGTAAAAAAGACATACTTATCCCAATTTGTGATACCCATCTCTTAGCTGTGAAGTCAAGGTCCTGGAGCATTTTATTACGCTTGAGTCAACTTAACCTGTCAACTTCGAATTCACTGTGTTATTCAGTTGACTGAGCGTTTGAAAGTAAATGTGCTGTATGGAGTTGCATCCCTTTAGGACGAAATGAAATTGGATTTAACAATGCATTTGTTGACATTTCTGTATCCTCCGGCTCGGTGAAAACTATATGTTTTGTCATTAGAGTGGGTGAGTGGGTGAGTTCGGTTTACCGTGTCGGCTTAATGTGGTAGGAAAGCCCGTAGTGATGCAGGTCTCAGACGTTTACCACTTTGATGAAACCCACAAGCAAGGGAATGGTGCTGACAAACCTAGAAACATAATCGGGGCGAAACAGGATTCGAACCCACAATCTCAGGTTTCTGGCGTACCCAATGGACGCAACTCTGCACAGCGAATTGAGGTGTCATAGACGACTGGGCCACTCGTGCCCCCTTTTGTCACTAGATAGACAGTCATAAAGGATGGACTCAAAGCTAGACCTGCATCGCGTCAAGCTTTTTACCCACATCAAGCTGATACGTCGTGAAATTATGTTGCGTTTAACAATACTCACTCCCTCCCTCAATCAGCCTTACAACAGGGGTACCTTGTTTGAATATGATTCCCCTTATAATGTTGAAGTTAAACTAATGAACTAGTATGCTTACGGAGATCCTTTGATGAAAGCGTTCTTCTGAATCTTGTAGGTGTCCGTATTGTCGCACACTACCCTGGACAGGCTCGCTTTCCGGATCTCATTCAGCTGGTCTGCACAAATTGAGAACATTCGTCAGCAAAAATCTGTTTGATTTGTAGAAGTAGTTGATCATGAGTGCAAAGAGTGCCATATTGTAGAGGAGAGTTGAGTGCAGAGGGTGGCATATTGTAGAGGAGAGTTGAGTGCAGAGGGTGGCATATTGTAGAGGAGAGTTGAGAGCAGAGGGTGACATATTGTAGAGGAGTGTTGGGTGCAGAGGGTGGCATATTGTATAGGAGAGTTGAGTGCAGAGGGTGGCATATTGTAGAGGAGAGTTGAGTGCAGAGGGTGGCATATTGTAGAGGAGTGTTGGGTGCAGAGGGTGGCATATTGTAGAGGAGTGTTGAGTGCAGATGGTGGCATACTGTAGAGGAGAGTTGAGAGCAGAGGGTGACATATTGTAGAGGAGAGTTGAGAGCAGAGGGTGACATATTGTAGAGGAGTGTTGGGTGCAGAGGGTGGCATATTGTAGAGGAAAGTTGAGCGCAGAGCGTGGCATATTGTATAGGAGAGTTGAGTGCAGAGGGTGGCATATTGTAGAGGAGAGTTGAGTGCAGAGGGTGGCATATTGTATAGGAGAGTTGAGTGCAGATGGTGGCATACTGTAGAGGAGAGTTGAGAGCAGAGGGTGGTATATTGTAGAGGAGAGTTGAGTGCAGAGGGTGGCATATTGTAGAGGAGAGTTGAGAGCAGAGGGTGACATATTGTAGAGGAGTGTTGGGTGCAGAGGGTGGCATATTGTAGAGGAGAGTTGAGCGCAGAGCGTGGCATATTGTATAGGAGAGTTGAGTGCAGAGGGTGGCATATTGTAGAGGAGTGTTGGGTGCAGAGGGTGGCATATTGTAGAGGAGAGTTGAGTGCAGATGGTGGCATACTGTAGAGGAGAGTTGAGAGCAGAGGGTGGCATATTGTAGAGGAGAGTTGAGTGCAGAGGGTGACATATTGTAGAGGAGTGTTGGGTGCAGAGGGTGGCATATTGTAGAGGAAAGTTGAGCGCAGAGCGTGGCATATTGTATAGGAGAGTTGAGAGCAGAGGGTGGCATATTGTAGAGGAGAGTTGAGAGCAGAGGGTGGTATATTGTAGAGGAGAGTTGAGAGCAGAGGGTGACATATTGTAGAGGAGTGTTGGGTGCAGAGGGTGGCATATTGTAGAGGAGAGTTGAGCGCAGAGCGTGGCATATTGTATAGGAGAGTTGAGTGCAGAGGGTGGCATATTGTAGAGGAGAGTTGAGTGCAGAGGGTGGCATATTGTAGAGGAGTGTTGGGTGCAGAGGGTGGCATATTGTAGAGGAGTGTTGAGTGCAGATGGTGGCATACTGTAGAGGAGAGTCGAGAGCAGAGGGTGGCATATTGTAGAGGAGAGTTGAGAGCAGAGGATGACATATTGTAGAGGAGTGTTGGGTGCAGAGGGTGGCATATTGTAGAGGAAAGTTGAGCGCAGAGCGTGGCATATTGTATAGGAGAGTTGAGTGCAGAGGGTGGCATATTGTAGAGGAGAGTTGAGTGCAGAGGGTGGCATATTGTAGAGGAGTGTTGAGTGCAGATGGTGGCATACTGTAGAGGAGAGTTGAGAGCAGAGGGTGGTATATTGTAGAGGAGAGTTGAGTGCAGAGGGTGGCATATTGTAGAGGAGAGTTGAGAGCAGAGGGTGACATATTGTAGAGGAGTGTTGGGTGCAGAGGGTGGCATATTGTAGAGGAGAGTTGAGCGCAGAGCGTGGCATATTGTATAGGAGAGTTGAGTGCAGAGGGTGGCATATTGTAGAGGAGAGTTGAGTGCAGAGGGTGGCATATTGTAGAGGAGTGTTGGGTGCAGAGGGTGGCATATTGTAGAGGAGAGTTGAGCGCAGAGCGTGGCATATTGTATAGGAGAGTTGAGTGCAGAGGGTGGCATATTGTAGAGGAGAGTTGAGTGCAGAGGGTGGCATATTGTAGAGGAGTGTTGAGTGCAGATGGTGGCATACTGTAGAGGAGAGTTGAGAGCAGAGGGTGGTATATTGTAGAGGAGAGTTGAGTGCAGAGGGTGGCATATTGTAGAGGAGTGTTGGGTGCAGAGGGTGGCATATTGTAGAGGAGAGTTGAGCGCAGAGCGTGGCATATTGTATAGGAGAGTTGAGTGCAGAGGGTGGCATATTGTAGAGGAGAGTTGAGTGCAGAGGGTGGCATATTGTAGAGGAGTGTCGGGTGCAGAGGGTGGCATATTGTAGAGAAGTGTTGAGTGCAGATGGTGGCATACTTTAGAGGAGAGTTGAGAGCAGAGGGTGGCATATTGTAGAGAAGAGTTGAGAGCGGAGGGTGACATATTGTAGAGGAGTGTTGGGTGCAGAGGGTGGCATATTGTAGAGGAGAGTTGAGCGCAGAGGGTGGCATATTGTATAGGAGAGTTGAGTGCAGAGGGTGGCATATTGTAGAGGAGAGTTGAGCGCAGAGCGTGGCATATTGTATAGGAGAGTTGAGTGCAGAGGGTGGCATATTGTAGAGGAGAGTTGAGTGCAGAGGGTGGCATACTTTAGAGGAGAGTTGAGAGCAGAGGGTGGCATATTGTAGAGGAGAGTTGAGAGCAGAGGGTGACATATTGTAGAGGAGTGTTGGGTGCAGAGGGTGGCATATTGTAGAGGAGAGTTGAGCGCAGAGCGTGGCATATTGTATAGGAGAGTTGAGTGCAGAGGGTGGCATATTGTAGAGGAAAGTTGAGCGCAGAGGGTGACATATTGTAGAGGAGTGTTGGGTGCAGAGGGTTGCATATTGTAGAGGAGAGTTGAGCGCAGAGCGTGGCATATTGTATAGGAGAGTTGAGAGCAGAGGGTGGCATATTGTAGAGGAGAGTTGAGTGCAGAGGGTGGCATATTGTAGAGGAGTGTTGAGTGCAGAGGGTGGCATATTGTAGAGGAGAGTTGAGCGCAGAGCGTGGCATATTGTATAGGAGAGTTGAGAGCAGAGGGTGGCATATTGTAGAGGAGAGTTGAGCGCAGAGGGTGGCATATTGTAGAGGAGAATTGAGAGCAGAGGGTGGCATATTGTAGAGGAGAGTTGAGCGCAGAGCGTGGCATATTGTATAGGAGAGTTGAGAGCAGAGGGTGGCATATTGTAGAGGAGAGTTGAGTGCAGAGGGTGGCATATTGTAGAGGAGTGTTGAGTGCAGATGGTGGCATACTGTAGAGGAGAGTTGAGAGCAGAGGGTGGTATATTGTAGAGGAGAGTTGAGTGCAGAGGGTGGCATATTGTAGAGGAGTGTTGAGTGCAGATGGTGGCATACTGTAGAGGAGAGTTGAGAGCAGAGGGTGGCATATTGTAGAGGAGTGTTGAGTGCAGAGGGTGGCATATTGTAGAGAAGTGTTGAGTGCAGATGGTGGCATACTTTAGAGGAGAGTTGAGAGCAGAGGGTGACATATTGTAGAGGAGAGTTGAGAGCAGAGGGTGACATATTGTAGAGGAGTGTTGGGTGCAGAGGGTGGCATACTGTAGAGGAGAGTTGAGCGCAGAGCGTGGCATATTGTATAGGAGAGTTGAGTGCAGAGGGTGGCATATTGTAGAGGAGAGTTGAGCGCAGAGCGTGGCATATTGTATAGGAGAGTTGAGTGCAGAGGGTGGCATATTGTAGAGGAGAGTTGAGAGCAGAGGGTGACATATTGTAGAGGAGTGTTGGGTGCAGAGGGTGGCATATTGTAGAGGAGAGTTCAGCGCAGAGCGTGGCATATTGTATAGGAGAGTTGAGTGCAGAGGGTGGCATATTGTAGAGGAGAGTTGAGTGCAGAGGGTGGCATATTGTAGAGGAGTGTTGGGTGCAGAGGGTGGCATATTGTAGAGAAGTGTTGAGTGCAGATGGTGGCATACTTTAGAGGAGAGTTGAGAGCAGAGGGTGGCATATTGTAGAGGAGAGTTGAGAGCAGAGGGTGACATATTGTAGAGGAGTGTTGGGTGCAGAGGGTGGCATATTGTAGAGGAGAGTTGAGCGCAGAGCGTGGCATATTGTATAGGAGAGTTGAGTGCAGAGGGTGGCATATTGTAGAGGAGAGTTGAGCGCAGAGCGTGGCATATTGTATAGGAGAGTTGAGTGCAGAGGGTGGCATATTGTAGAGGAGAGTTGAGTGCAGAGGGTGGCATACTTTAGAGGAGAGTTGAGAGCAGAGGGTGGCATATTGTAGAGGAGAGTTGAGAGCAGAGGGTGACATATTGTAGAGGAGTAATGGGTGCAGAGGGTGGCATATTGTAGAGGAGAGTTGAGCGCAGAGCGTGGCATATTGTATAGGAGAGTTGAGTGCAGAGGGTGGTATATTGTAGAGGAAAGTTGAGCGCAGAGCGTGGCATATTGTATAGGAGAGTTGAGTGCAGAGGGTGGCATATTGTAGAGGAGAGTTGAGTGCAGAGGGTGGCATATTGTAGAGGAGAGTTGAGTGCAGATGGTGGCATACTGTAGAGGAGAGTTGAGAGCAGAGGGTGGTATATTGTAGAGGAGAGTTGAGAGCAGAGGGTGGCATATTGTAGAGGAGAGTTGAGAGCAGAGGGTGACATATTGTAGAGGAGTGTTGGGTGCAGAGGGTGGCATATTGTAGAGGAGAGTTGAGCGCAGAGCGTGGCATATTGTATAGGAGAGTTGAGAGCAGAGGGTGGCATATTGTAGAGGAGAGTTGAGCGCAGAGGGTGGCATATTGTAGAGGAGAGTTGAGTGCAGAGGGTGGCATATTGTAGAGGAGAGTTGAGCGCAGAGCGTGGCATATTGTAGAGGAGAGTGTAATTGGGTTCTTAAGTGAGTCGATGTAAATATGTCACAATGCTCCGGAGTAGAAAACACTCCGTACAGCATGAGGCATTTCGCGGAAACATACACACATATCTATCAGGATCAAGACACATTCACTGGGTGTGTGCAACAACTTACATTGCGTGAATTTGACATTTGCGTTGTCCTCTTCAAACCAGAATCGGTCTCCTTCCTTCAGGGCCTGGAACTGCTTCGCCAGGAGACAGGTAAAGGTCGGTCCAACCATTCCTCCAGGCACTGGCTTCTCCGACAGAGCCCCTGGGAATAGGTCGATGTCTTCAATATGTCTGGGGAGAGTCATGGAAAATTAATGGCCAGCTAGTTGATGCAACGAGCATTTCCCACTCTTTGAGGGCCAACTGATATCCTCGCTGGAGTTTCACAGAAGCATTACCATTCCAAAATAACATTCTATTGACTTTGAAACAATATTCCAGGGGATGGTGATGGTGGATATTGTGACTTCCCATGCCGTCAGGGTACGATGACACCCAGTCAGAAATTTAGCCTTCGTACGGCAGCCATAGCAAGCAAGAGTGTTGGGGACGTGTTCTAATCCTGGTCACCAGAAGTAAACATTCAGATCAAGCAGAGTATTGCGTAGTAAGTCATTGACTATGTTGTGTTGGATACACAGGTGGTCAAAGGCGCCTCAAGAAGTCTGTAAGCCCATATCCAGTGCTACCGGGTTTAATCAAAGTGGTTAACGTCAATGACCTTCGTCCGAATTTCATCCCACATAAAGCTTAAACGGCTTGATCAAATTCATGTTGGGCTCATGCTCAAAGATGCGTTTAATCCAGCTCACTTACCTTCTCCCCAACCCACTCACACTCCATATACCCGTACTCACCTGTACACGTCTTTCAGGTGACCAGCAGCCTTTGCCGTGTGGGTTGTGTAGGCTAGTCCTGAGAATGGTGTAGCCTCTGGAATGTTACAGTACTTCCTCCACTTGGTGTAAGACGGAAGTCCGTGGTCTCTTCCTCTCTGGATGTTGAGAGCAGCCAAGTCCATGCTATTCCCATTACTGTCAGCAAACAGGTTGTCGGTGATCTCCTGCGATAGCTTGTAGTCCGAATCCTGCATGTCGTCCATAGCAAGTCCCCTGATATAATGATCCACCTTTCTGTTGGTGACATTAAGAATAAGGGTCGTGTTGCCGAAACTCTCACTTAATTTATCCTTACCGAGGTTGGTGTAGGAAGGACTGAAGCTATTGATGAAGCTTCGAATCATGGAGTGTCCCATTCTGAAAGCCGCCGTAGCGAAGGCGGACCTGATGCTGGCGTCTGTTGTTGTGTTGTAGACGTTGGAGTAAGCAAAGCCTGATCCCAGTGTCAAACCATATTTATTCATTTCCTCCTTGCCGAGAATTATAGGCAGATACTCGTCGTATGTGATTACCTAAAAACGACCATGTGAAAACCAGGGTTCATGTTTCTCTGACAAAAATGTTGATGGAAGCTTTTTTCGAAAAAGAATTTCATGTTCTAAGACACAAGGAAACATCTAGTTGGGCTTTAAAAGTGTACGATTTTGTAGCTGCGTTAGTTAAGAGCATTACAAATTCTGAAAATGTTTCTTGAAAACAAACGTGTGTGCTGCAGTCTGATTGGAGATCGGACCCTAACTTCTGGAAATATACTGCTTCTAATACACATTTTAGCAGTAATTGTGCAGCCATGGCAAACAATAATAAAATAGGTAGTTTTATACTTAACCCCAAGTGCACCTCAGTGGAGCCTGGTTATCTAATTAAGGGTATTTTATAGCGTTGTTAAGATCAGATGAACATACTGGTCAGGAGAATATTTTGACATCGTTCTTTGAAGAAAAGTTTAACAACGCTCGACAAATATGAAAACGTCAATATCCTGAAAAGTCATGTGCAAGAAAAGGAATGACATCATGCGCCAGGTCAGGTTCCTGTGCACGATGTGAAAACCCATATTAAATATCCACTGCCTTGATTCAACAATGCATCTGTTCTCCGGCCCTACGAAAAACTCTGAGCCAACCAACACCCACAGTCAGATTGAATCTCGCTTCGTAAATGAAAAGCATGTTACGTTCCTCTATTCGCATTGTCCATAACAATGTGTGGGTATCCCCTCAATAAAAATAGAATAACACTTGCTGAGTAAATGAAATATATACATGTATATGCCTATTTATGCCTATACATGTGTATGCCTATTAATCATAAAGATCTGTCATGGCTGGAATACTGCTGAGTGCGGCGTTAAATAACAAACAAACAAACAGTAGTATGTTTCAAAGAAACATGTTGACTAATGATTTGGAGTGAGATTTTCACTCTGCATCAACGATCCCGATTTGGAAAGTGCGGCAATCAGACTAATGCTACAACATACCGTGAAATACTGTGTGAAGCGGCTTTTAACCAAATTCACTTCGATCTTATCTCTGATTTCTGAACAACCTCGGTGTCTTTGTAAACTTTAGTGAGCACAGAATTCATCATGAATCGTGGTTTATAGCATTAATCGTGATATTTGTCACCTGCATCATGGCGCCAACGATCCTCCTGGCTTCCTGGAAGATTCTCTCATCCCCCCAGTGACAGTTTAGTTGCTTCAGCGTCCCTGCTATGCGGTTGTGTTCTCTCATGAAGATGGTGTGCATGCTCTGTAGAGTGGGGTTCTCATTCACTCGATGGTCACCTGCAAGTGAGGCACCAGGGTGTTTTAAACCGGGTTCGATAACGACACGATATTTTATCAGGGTCAGGTATTAGAGTGGTAAATGCCACTGAAATACATTGACTGTGTTAATAAAATATATTGAGTATATTGATGATACACTGGATTCTACACACTAGTATGCCCAAAGCCCTCCGCCATTATATATTACCCTGTCAATGGATAAATGTGCTCACACAATACAATTTCCTGGGGTGGGGTGGTTTTGTTTGTTTCGTTTGGTTGGTTGGTTGTTTCTTAACGCCCCACTCAGCAATATTCCAGCTATATGACGGCGGTCTGAATATAATCGAGTGACATCATAAACATTGATCAATGCAATTGGAATACGATGACACGCATCAACCAAGTCAGCCAATGCCGTTGGTCGAATCTTATGACAAGCATGGTCACCTCCTTATGACAAGCCCGGGTTACTGAAGACCTATTCTAACCCGGACCTTCACGAGTCACATCGCTAGTAGAGGCTATGCAATACCGCGATTAATAACGCCCGTCATGCGCTATGCTCAAGGCGGAAAACCAGTCAGTAAAATTTAAACATTATTGAAAAGAAAAAACCCAGTCCATCCTGGTTAGTAAGTAATTAAGTAAATACCTTATCTTACCTTATTGAATATATATTATAACTTATTTACCTGCTAAGAAGCAATAGCTCGGGCTGTTTGGTGTTGTGCATTCATCTCCATCAGATTCATCTTTAGGCAAATGGCTGTTAATTGTTTTCAGTTTTCCTGAAAAAACAAATGAGACACTTGGAAATATGTTACATCTTCCTAAATATCCGGGTTGTCAACAACGATGGAATGAAAATCAACCGACCGTAAACATAAACCGTCATTGTGAGGTTTGTTACTAGGATGGGGGGGGGGGGGGGGGGGGGGGGGGAGACTACTAAGTACGGATAGGTGTATATACAGGTAGTAGCCAGTGTTTATACAGTAGAGTAGATTTGGATATAGTTATACTGGAGGGGAGAAGCCTGCTCTCTATGTACTCAAAAGAGTAACCATATTCACCTGTATATATACAAGTATACAAATATATATACTGGAATATAACTGGAATACTGTTAAAAGCAGCGTTAAACCCAACTCACTCACTCTTTATTTGAGATAGTATTAAGGATGAAGTAGTATCCTGAAGTAAGCATACAAGATGAACACCAGTAAGAATTCTGCCGGAACGTTAACGTCACACCAGTTCAACGATATCTCGAGTTAATGATTTTACTTAAAATGAACCACAGTAGGGAAAGCGAGTAAACTATTTATTTTTAACTTAATGAAAGAATGTGTTATGGCTTCGAATCCCAAATTCGCCCTGATTAAGTTTCTTATTTTGCCAGCACTATCACCTCGCTCATCGCCTATGAACTGCATCGATTCGGGCTTTCCTCACACATTATGATGACACGCTGTGCTATAACTGAAATATTGCTCAAAGCGGCGTAAATTAAACCCATCCACTCACTATCCTAAAGCTGGTATTTATATACCTTTTATTCCGTGTATAGTGTGCTTGTTATACAAGACAAAAACGGTTACCACTGCTTATTGACAGCACATACATTGGGACGGTCGGTTAGCCTAGTGGTTAAAGCGTTCGCTCGTCACGCCGAAGACCCGGGTTCGATTCCCGACATGGGTACAATGTGTGAAGCCCATTTCTGGTGTCCCCCGCCGTGATATTGCTGGAATATTGCTAAAAGCGGCGTTAAATCATACCCACTCACGCACTCACGCACTCGCTGAATAGACATTACAACAGATAAGTGTTCGTCCGTCTTCAGCAATGAGTAACTGTATCAATCAAAGGGCCTACTTTTGTATTCATTCATTCATTTATTTGTGTTGGGCGTCGGCCCGGCAATCCCGAGGTCTCCCCTACCGTCAACAAAAGTCCGTAGCTTGTTCTGTTCCTCCTGTGACGACCCGTACACCTGTGAGGCGTCTATGTAGGCTGTGAGCTGGTTCAGCTGTTCCACAGGAGCTGAAAAGACGAACATGCAAACAGTATGCACAGAAGTTACGTGGCTTGCCATATTTAATATTCACAGCTTTACATAAACACTTTGGAACAATCTAACGTTTTATGTAAACATGCAGACTCGATATTGATTTTGTAGCATTGCGTTTACATAGATACACTGAATACGTACGAAATTCTGTGTCTAAGGGAAGATAATACCTGCTTGACACTTGGAGTTTTCGACTTGGACAGAGCGCACGAAATTCATACAGCTATCACTGAAGTGTCGGTCATTCTCCGGGATTTCAATTGAAAAGCACTGAGGTCTGTAAATAGAAAACACTGATCTTGAACTTATTTGAAACATCAGTTCAACAAATGTCAACATTTGCTGTGATAAAATATTAGCTGTACACAAGATTGTATGAACATGCATCACGAACTCGTCGTTGCGGCAATGTACGATTGTCATTGAGTTTTCTCCTGTGTCGAGTGCCTGGGTGGCCCAGTCGTCTAAGGCGCTGTGCAGAGTTGCTTCTCCTGGGCACGCCAGAAACCTATGATTGTTGGTTCGAATCCCGGTTCGCCCCCATTATGTTTCTAGGTTTGTCAGCGCCAAAGCCGTGCTCAAAGGTTAAAAAAAGCTGTAAACGTCTCAGACCTGCATCACTTCGGGCTTTCCTCTCACACTAGGCAGACACGCCCTGATATAACAGGAATACTGTTCAAAGCGGCGTTAAACGTTAACCCAACTCACTCACTACAGCCCTGACAGGGCCAGGGTGTACACTGTACTTACTGTTCAGACGCGTGTACAATTAGGGATACGACCGACACGTGTACAAACGCAAGCTCTGACCTCCCTATTAACCCTTACGGTGAGGACATCTGACAATGATCTACCGTACAGAGTAAACATGGTTTAGATTTGATTCTCCGTCAAGGAGTCCGAACATAGATGTTAGTCGTACGTGAATATCTATACTGACAGACGACTAGACGACAAAATCTATGACAAAAACTCAACTGTGTCTTAGCTCTATGACAAGGCAGGCATAGGGTCATGTTTCCTTGACGTACCTTGTCTGTGAGGACGCGCAGCAATCGGGAGTCGCTGCACTTGTAGTTAGCCCTGCAAAATAGAGCAAAACTGTCAATGTTTTGTAACGCATTCGTGAAGGAAAGATTGTGGCTATGTAGGGCACCTGGAAACATGATTGTGTCCATGCAAAATTAATTAATAATGGTCTAAAAGATGCCGGGTGGAGATATTTATAATATGTTTCATTTGTGCAATTTTGTTTTTCACTTTTCTTTTAACCATTAAGCATTTTAAGTATTAAAACATTCCCATTTAAACAGCAAAGATTTAGCTCGGTATGTGTGTTTGCGTGGGCGTGTGTGTGCGTGTGAGGATTTGGGTCCGCAAGGTACGAAAATCGGGATCCCAGGGTACACTGTACTTGTGCACAGGATCGCGATCAAAGTTGGTTGGTTTGTTGTTTTACGCCGCACTCAGAAATATTCCAGCTATATGACGTCGGTCTGTAATTAATCGAGTATGGACCAGACAATCCAGTGATTGATATCATGAGCATCGATCCACGCAATTGGGATCGATAACATGCATCAACCAAGTCAGCGAGCCTGACCACCCGATCCCGTTAGTCGCCTCTTACGACAAGCATAGTCGCCTCTTAGGCAAGGCGATCAAAGACTAGACTTGGTAATGTTTATGACGTCATAATTCTGCGAATTTGGTTACTTCCTTGTTTACAGAAACAAAAGCAATTTAGCTGTGAGCGGCATCCTACAACTATTTGGTTCCATTTCTCTGCGTGTTGTAGGGAATACTGTTTTGTACTATAATAGAAAATGTCATTCTTTAAGATTTGGTAGTTCTGTCTATATCGTGCACGCACTTGAACCACGTGGTTACAAATTTAGTTTGGATACGTTGTGTCAAGTACATGTACTTAGTTCAACTGGAAACCACTCTCTGCATATGTTAGCACTGGATCAAACCATTACCCCTTATCCCCATGCTAGCATAGCATCCCACTATATCCTCTCTCACTATGTTAGCAAAGAATACTACCATTATCCTAACACCCTATGCTACCATGAATTCTTACCATTGTCCTCTCTCTCTACGCCAGTATAGATATAATCCTACTCTCTCTCTCTTCCCCCCTCGCTCTCTCTCTCTCTTGCTCTCTCTACGCCAGTATAGATAGAATCCTACTCTCTCTGTGTCTTCCTTTCTCTCTGTCTCTCTCTCCCTCTTGTTCTCTCTACGCCAGTATAGGTAGCATCCTACTCTCTTTCTCTCTCTTTCACTCTTTTCTCTCTCTCAGCTTCCATGGAGTACCATTATCCTCTCACTCTAAGCCAGTATATAATCCCTCTCTCACTCTTTCTGCCTCTCTCTCTGTCTCCGCCAGTATATATAGAATCCTACTCCCCCTCTTTCATTCTCTCTCTACATACGCCAGTATACATAGAATCCTACTACCCCTCTTTCATTCTCTCTCAGAGGCGGTCGGGTAGCCTAGTGGTTAAAGCGTTCGCTCGTCACGCCGAACACCCGGGTTCGATTCCCGACATGGGTACAATGTGTGAAGCTCATTTCTGGTGTCCCCCGCCGTGATATTGCTGGAATTTGCTAAAAGCGGCGTAAAATCAAACTCACACGTTCACTCACTCATTCTCTCTCTATATACGCCAGTATAGATAGCATCCTTCTCTCTCTCTCTCTCTCTCTCTCTCTCTCTCTCTCTCTCTATCTCTATCTTTCTTTGCTACCATGGAGTACCATTATCCTACCATATTCCCTCTCCCTGTGCCAGCATATCATCCTACAAGTATCCTCTCACCCTACGCCAGAATATAATCCTACCATATTCCCGCTCCCTGTGCTACCATGTCATCCTACACGTATCCTCTCTTCCTATACTACAACAGACTCGTACCATCGTCCACCGACACTTCGAGTTGCTGTGTTGGTGTGCTGGTGATGTCGTGATCCAGGAACTGACCCCACTGCATCAACATGTGGGTGTAGGAGGCGTGGCGGTCAGCGTCTGTTGACGGGGTGTGGACAGTCGTGCTGACCAGGCGGGCACTGGGCAAGACCCCTCCTGCAGTTGCTTCTTTTCTTGGAGACGATATTCCTGAGGTATGCAAGAGTGGGATTCAGTTCCACAAAAACTGACAACAGAATAACACGATTTTCCTTGCAACAAGTGTACTTGCAACTGGAACAGACACTTCACTGACTGTTGTATACCACAGTTTACACAACCCTGATGCACCCAAAAGAATTGTTTGCTCCAGACTTGGCTATTTAGAGGCCGCGTCATATACATTATTGTTTCAAGAAATGAACAACGTTAAACACGGGACAAAACAGTACCCAAATATATCAATACATCCCAACGTTCTTTCCAACAAAAAGTTATGTTATGAATGAAAACAGACAGCCTACTTGCTTTAATATACTCAGTGTCATTATTGAAGGTCCCTAGGAATGTAGGGCGTCAAACATGAACATGTGCCAACAAGCGTCAGTAGGTCTGAGTGAGTGAGTCAGTTGTGTTTAATGCCGCTTTAAACATTATTTCAGTTATATCACGGCGTGTCAGCTTAATGTGGGAGGAAAGCCCGAAGTGATGCAGGTCTCAGACGTTTACCACTTCGGTTAAACCCACGAGCACGGGTATGGTGCTGACAAACCTAGAAACATAATCGGGGCGTACCGGATGCGAACCCACAATCATAGGTTTCTGGCGTGCCCAAGGGACGCAACTCTGCACAGCGAATCGCGGCGCCTTAGACGACTGGGCCACCAGTGCCCCCCAGTAGGTCTGAGTTTGTTGACAGTGTGATTAACAGTTAAAGAACATGTTGTTTATGCCTATGTCGCACTGATTGGGTGCTTTTATGAAACTGGAAAAGGACTGATAACAAATGAAAAGCGCAAGATTTAAAGGCGATGGATGGGCAACCAAAAACACACGCATGAACGCAACCAGTGGTTTAGCCCGTGAATGTGCGATATATGACAATTAACAGTCAATGTGGACATGAAATCATCCCAGATGTAACAGAACTGCACTCTTGGAAGTTGAAAATGCGACGTTTTATTTCACTATCTGCGTTACCCACAAACAACAATGAGACATTCGATGCAAACCAAAGCTATCCTAATTTATAATACCCATTGCAAGGTCATGGAATATTGGCGCCACACTGTTTACAATTGTTTTTTTCTGTTTTTTCGCAGCGTTTGTAAAACCATTTTGATTTAATTTTTAGACGACATACTATGATAAATCTTGGTTTTACATGAATTACAGTCAGTGCCGGTGAAGATACAAGAGCTCGGAGTCACTTTTCTGATTGGGATATCTAAGGTAAAACTGCAGCATAGCATCCCAGTGGGCTTGCACTATAAAACAAGCATTAGTACAAGTACAAGCAGCTATACTCAGGCGTGTTCTCTTTGTCTCACTATACTTAATATACACTATACCGTCATCGTATTCCTGGTCCAGCCACCGTCTCATCGGCGTAGTGGCCATTCCCCACGTGGGATGCTCGAGGTTGTTGCAGCTGCCGTCAGCTGTCCGGAAAGAGCTGGAACTGTTGCACGGAAGACTACTTGTGCATGTAATCTCTGGACCCAAACCTCCTTCTAGCAGCCTCGGGATGTCAGTCTTTTGTACGTTTCCCCTGGAAGAAACATGCCGGGTTATGAAAGCCACCAATAATTCCCAATCTTATCAGCAAATTAGATTATCAGCCGTAACGACTGCAGATGAATATTGTCGAAATTGTGGATAGATTATTCCTTTCCCTCACGAAAAAAATGACAAAAATATGTAGGTTTGCTTATATTATCTTACTGATATTTCGGGAGGATGTTTACATGTCTTTGTAAAAGAAATAATTCCCTGTTTGTAGATGGTAGAAAAACTTCGATATTATTTCAGATGGAATTATTTCTGATAATATGATTTGGTCAGTTGGTTGGTTTGTTGTTTAACGCCGCACTCAGCAATATTCCAGCTATATGATGGCGGTCTGTAAATAATCAAGTCTAGACCAGACAATCCAGTGATTAATATCATGAGCATCGATCCGAGCAATTGGGATCGATGACATGCATCAACCAAGTCAGCGAGCCTGACCTCCCGATCCCGTTAGTCGCCTCTTACGACAAGCATAGTCGCCTTTTCCGGCAAGCATGGGTTGCTGAAGACCTATTCTACCCCGGATCTTTACGGGTCCTGATAATATGATCAGGTATGAACTCAAACTTACTCCTCTACCAATTCCTGTATTTGTAGCAAGTGCAGTCGATGTTCCCTTCCACGCATAACGCTCTTCGATGACGTAAATGTGAACTTGTTATGTTGGTCGGTGGTTGACCCTGGCTTGGAAACTGCCACGTCTGGAATAGTCATGAATTTGTTTGTGAATGAGATGGGTTTAACGCCGCTTTGAACAATATTTCAGCCTTCACGGCATACCAGTTGGGTGTGGGAGGACATCCCGAAGTGTTGCAGGTCTTAGACGCTGACAACATTGAGAAACCCACGAGCACGGGTGTGACGCTAACAAACCAAGAAATAGGACGATTCTGAGATTCGCTTCTGTTTTAAGATATAAACATGTCTACATAAAATAACTTTTGAAAAGGATCAGGAATAAATAGACGTAGTGATCTATTCGTTTATAGTCAAGCTTCAGTTTTAAACATTATTTTTGTTCTACTTTCTCTATTGGTTCTACAAATTATAGACAAAAGCGACACATCCCTTCCCATATTCATAAGAAATATCTGCTAAAAGAAGATTCTACGATTGTACGGTTCTAACTCTATCATGAGCATGTGTTTATGAATCACTTTTTGAAAGCCTTACTGGGGCCTCGAATGTTGCAACCTTGATCAAACAACTTCTGAGCAAGAGTCGTATGACGCTCTTTTGAATCTTGGTAGAAAGAGCTTGCTCGATTGCATCTCAAAAGTTGTGAAATATAAACACCAAATGCTGGAGCTGCCGGAATATTGCTCAACATGAAGGGAAAGTTGACTTTTGGAAAGTTGAAGTCATCCCTTTTGTCATACAGTCTTGTGGAGAGTGTTTGGTCACCCTGAATCTTTATGCATATATCTAAACATTAAACAGATGCTATGCTACAGAACCCAAGACCCCAAAGGTGAGGTGAGGTGAAATGGGGTTTAACGTCGCGTCCAAGATTATTGCACTTATATAGCGACGTGCATGCACGTGTGTGTGTGGCTGCTTGTACTAGTCCGGACTGATGCCCATTTATAGTGATAGCGCACTGAGATACCATGCCGCAGTTTAACATGAATACCCCACTCAGACACAGTATACTGACTCCAAGCCGACCAGTCATTGTTTAAGCCCCTTAATGCCGAGCGCCAGACAGGGTAACAACAAGTACCATCTTTTAACGTCTTTAGGTATGACGCGGCCGGGGATCGAACCACGGACCTTACGCTCTCCGGGCAGACGCTCTTCCACTAGACCACGGAGGCGGTCCAAGACCTCAAACGAGGTGTGCGTTTATTGTTAACCCGCATGACACTATTACCACAACCAGTGTGAATTTCCATCTTCCTTGGCAGTATACAACCTGTGATCCAAGTTGCCCGTATGGCCGTACATCTCAACCTACCGGGTACCCGTTTACTGCTGGCTGAACAGAGACAAACCGCAAAAAAAAGCAAAACAAAATACCGTTATTCTTCCCCGCCCTTAAGGCGGGGAAGTATACGGGAAACGTTAAATTTGTGGCATGTATGTCGACATGTTGGTTTATTTGAAATTTCAAGCCACGCATTTACGGAAACAAAACATACAAATCATGTGCGTCGAATGATGATGCTATTCTTTTCCAGCAATAAGGGTTACTTCAAAATCGTCTTTATGTAGTTAATTGATGCATCTGACCGTTTCTGGTCATTAGCTGACATTATTAAACCATTCATGTGTAATCCGATGTCCTTTTTTCCTCAAGGACTAATTTTCTGATTTTCACGGTGTATACAAAAGAACTGTGCTCCGGAGATCGTAAATAACAGCATAATAAAAATTATTTTCTGAATATGCTTATTCATGAACAACGACGACATCTCAATTTAAATGTAATATGGCTGAATTCCATATTCTACATACCACACTTTTGATTGTTTGGATGCTCATGTTCACTGGAAATATTTGGAATAGTTATATTCCGTATTTTGAATTAACCCAGTCCCCCGTGTGTGTTTTTTCATCAGTGGACCGCACATAACCACATGTGAAACGTTTGGTAGCAAAGTCAAAGCAAAATCGGAGTAGTGTGTCAGCGAATTTGCATCAAGGCTGTAGTATTTTTCAACCGTTTAATGGAATTCAATGTACAGCCGTAGCTCTGGTCATTCATATATTTTGTGTCCCATAGCTCAAATCTATTTGCGTCTGTACCGTGTTCCACTGACCTCGATAATCTGTTGGATGAAGGCACAGCTTTCTACAGCCACAAAGTTAACACCGAGGGCTATGAGGAGTATTTAGGTCATAATCAGTCCCGAGCAGCCACTGCCTCAAGCGATATTGTCTACATAACAGATCAGTTTTATGGCTCCGTCACAGGTGCTCCAAATATTGAAGCAGGGAAAACAAATTTCATAGAATCATTTCAAAAAGCAATATTGATATCCCCGTCACTTTTGGTAACTTTTAATGATGTCTCCATTGCAACTTTTACGGATTTCGATTCGTATGCATTATTTGACTGTCATCAGCGGAATGGTCTTGGTCAGATTGATCCGAATGGACAAGCGGTTTTACTTCTGTTTAGTAGTATAGATGAATTGTCATGTTACATCTTAACAGTATATATATATCAGGCTTCTATGCTTGTCGTAAGAGGCGTCGATCCCAATTGCGTGGATCGATGCTCATGATATTAGGCACTGGATTGTCTGGTCCAGACTCGATTATTTACAGACCGCCGTCATATAGCTGGGATATTGCTGAGTGCGGCGTTAAACGACAAACCAATCAATCATCATCATATTAAGTCAAACCAGACATTGTTACAAGTAAAACCACATTCCACAACAGTTACTGACACTGGATAAAAAACAGTATATAGAAAAAAACCAAGTAACTCAACTCATCATGATCACAATAACTATTCTTTGAAAGAAAGAAATACACACAAAAACTGACCAAAAAACGTAAAACAAGACACGAGGAATCTCTGTTATTGATTAGTCCCGGTATTGAAATGTTCTCCAACTACGTGATAATATTTTGAGTATGTGCATCTGTTGTTGTGACAAAAAGACCTTATCTAGTATGACTTTTTTTGCCATATGGAGCCCTTAGTATTTTCATTTACATTATTATAACCAAACGCTAAGTGTAAAAAGAATGTGATCTATTTTTTGAGTATGTGCATCTGCCAATGTTGTTGGCAGTTTTGATACTATTTCCACATGTTTACATTTGTGCCAGAAATTGCTTTCATTTCCTTCGATCTACTTTTTAAATAAAGACCCAGGTAAGAATAGGTCTTCAGCAACCCATGCTTGCCGTAAGGAGCGACGAACAGGATTGGGTAGTCAGGCTCGCCGATTTGGTCGATGCATAACATCATATTCCAATTGCGTAGTTCGATGCTCTTGGTGTCAATCACTGGATGATCTGGTCCAGACTGGATTATTTACAGACCTCCGTCATATGGCTGGAATAATACTGAGTGCGGCGTTAAACAAGAAACTATTTTTAAATAGACCTACCCTATGCAAATGTATCAACTGTATTGCCCAATACTCAAAATAAATAATATTTTTTTCCACAACAGCGTTGTGTTATCATATATAACATGTCTTTCAGTTTTAGAACCGAAGCCTCAGTCCAACTAAAGTCCGTTCCAACTTTTTAAGTGTACCGAATGATCTGAAGTTGTCCTCCTCTCTGAGCTCTTCCCGAAGTCGCATTTCGGCCCGAGATAATATCATCTTCTGCTGAGCCTCAGTGAAATCGGGCAACCCGTCTGGTCTGTTCTGAACAGCACTGGACACCGCTGGTGAAACTTGACATGTAGCCAGCGGTAGTGCCAGCTGCAGCAACATCAACTGTGGCAACATTGTCAGCTGCAGCAACACCAACCGTGGCATTGTTAAAGACACCTACGAAGACACGGAATAGAAACATACATAGAGATTTGGCATATTTTAGTTTGTTTGTTTGTTTAACGCCACACTTAGCAATATTCCAGCTATATGACAGTGGTCTGTAAATAATCGAGCTAGGACAAGACAATCAAGTGATTGACATCATGAGCATCGACCCATGCAATTTGGATACAATGACATACATCCACCAAGTCAGCAAGCTTGACCACCCGACCCCGTTAGTCGTCTCTTTACCACAAGCATAGTCACCTCTTACTGCAAGCATTTCGCTGTGCAGAGTTGCGTCCCATGAGCGCGCCAGAAACCTATGACTGTGGGTTCGAATCCCGGTTCGCCCTGATTATGTTTCTAGGTTTGTCAGCACCATGCCCGTGCTCGTGGGTTTCACCGAAGTGGTAAACGTCTGAGACTTGCATCACTTCGGAATTTCCTCCCACATTAAGCTGACATGCCGCGATATAACTGGAATACTGTTAACAAGCGGCGTTAAACCCAACTTACTCACTCACTGTTACAAATAAGTCATTGGTATGCATTTAAGTAGCTGTGAGCGTTATCGCAACTTCATAAAGTAAAAGTTCAGCTATTACGCATAGCTATACGTCAAGTATCTCGACACATGCGAAAAACACTGGAATATACCAGTGTTTATATTAGGAGATCAAACACTTGAATGTACAAGACGTGTGTGAAAACATTTTTTAACATCAATCGTGATAGTGGTATGTGCTTTGATGGGCAGAACCCTATTTCATTTTAAAGGAGAATCCACATTATTGTCCTACATGATGTCACATAGTGTATTCGTGTATACTTGTAAAGGTGTTCATATAAATAACTTCAATAGACAATCGATCTGTTGCTGGGAGTACATAGTTGCAATGACACTTAAAGGGATGATTTATAAGGTTTGTTTGTCAATGATTCATCAGCTGATTGGACGGTTGCTGTGAACGCCCCAGCAGAGAGTCAGTTTCATGTTGCACATCGTTTTAACAATTTTTTGTTTCAAAAGAAATCTAGATGGGTTGACTCATGTGAGGTGAGGTGCAATGGGGATTAACGTCGCGTCCAAGATTATTGCACTTATACAGCGACGTGCATGCACGTGTGTGTGGCTGCTTGTACTAGTCCGGACTGATGCCGATATATAGTACTAGCACACTGAGATACCATGCCGCAGTTTAACATGAATACCCCACTCAGACATAGTATACTGACTCCGAGCCGACCAGTCCTTGTTTTAGCCTCTTAATGCCGAGCGCCAGACAGGGTAACAACAAGTACCATCTTTTAACGTCTTTTGGTATGACGCTGACTCATGTAAATACCTCTCCAAGTAATAACTTAACAACAGCTGGTTACATACAGAATAGTGTTCAACTATTGCCATGTGTGTACAGATACATACTGGTGTTTCTAATAATGGCGTATGTTTGACAGGTAAAGAAAACGTGGATTTCATCTTCAAAAAAATACAAGTCCAATCTCGGACCTCTGATACAGGACGCAGACAATTACCAGCGTTTAGGTCGCTGCAGCCGAGCCTGAAGCGGCAGTGGACAATTTGACATAATCTAGATTCATATTTTAAGTCTTTAGTTATTGATAATGAACGATGAATTAAGGATTTTAAATTATTATAATGAGCGAGCGTTGGCTGCTTCGCCAAGTAGATAGTTGCACAGGTTAATCGTATCCGGAAGAAATGATTTGCCTTCGATCTGGATTCTACATTTAATTGCGTGTTAAGTTATTAATTAGAGGGTTATAATTGCTGTTATCAGAGACTTGACTTGGAATAAGATCATTGAGATATTCAGGTGAAATACCGTTTTTCAGTTTGTAAAATGTAATCAATTTGAAGCGGTGTCATCTTTCTTTTACACATTACAAATTTGTTTCGTTATAACATTTGGCATGGCTGGTACAACGAACTGTCACACAAGCAGTTCTCAATGCGTCCAAATGTAAATTCTCCAGTAACAATGATTGTACATAATCTCAAGTGTTTTTCTTGTTGGTCTAAAAAATTCCTTACACAAATTATCATTGGACTAATTTGTCTAATAATTTCGTTGATACCTTGGATGACGTAAGCATTGATTTTATAAATAATACCTATATGTCATACTCTAGCAAATGGTTTGCTTACATCGCAAAAAATGGCTCTGATTTCGTTGCCTTCGCCTTATGTGCCAGCAATAATATTTTTTATCATATATGTATTAATATGATGTAGAGTCACCTGCCATGAATCCTGATTGTAAATTAGTCAGCAGTTCGTTTTCCTTGAAGAAGTTAATAAATAAATTACTTCTTTGAATATACACTTTTCAAAACGTTTGGCTAAGCAACCTGTAAGTGCTACAGGTCTATAGTTTGAGCGTTCATGTACATCGCCTTTTTATGGATTTTACATATACTTGTTTCCAAACAGACGGAAAAGTTTTATTTTTAAGGGACAAGTTAAATATCTCAGTCAGGAATTGGAGATAGACGAGTCGCTGTTAATTTAAGTAACTTATCCCATCTGGCCCTGTTGCCTTAGTCGTATCTACGGAAAGAAGAATATCACAAAGTTCTTCTCGATTTCAATTCACAGATATTAATAGATCATCTATTTTTCACTGTTCAATAAATGGCAGATCAGAATCGAGGTTTCGTTCTATTGATTGATCGACAATATATCTTCCATATCATACAAACTGTCATTTGATACAATTGGCGGAAACGACATATTTCCTAACTAGTCGCAACCAGATCTTAGTACCATGTGGGCTAAAAATGATACTATATATTTTTAATTCATGAGCCCTTTTGGCTATTCTGACTAATATTACTTTATTCCTGCGCAGTCTGGGGCGGTCTGGTAGGCTAGTGACCCGAAGACCCTTGTTCGATTCCCGTCATGGGTACAGTGTGTGAAGCCCATTTCTGGTGTCCCCCGCCGTGATATTGCTGGAATATTGCTAAAAGCGGCGTAAAACCATACTCACTCACTCCAACAATAGACGCTTTTATCAGCATGACAAAAGATATCAATTCAGTAATTGCGAGTTTTACATTTCACCTGCATGCATATCGCCTCAAGCTCGGCAAGTTCTAAATTTACCATTATTTAAATGTTTTAATTAAGGATTGACTGTGTATTTCTTTGATCCATTGAGGTATGAATCGAAATACCGATTTACTGTGGAATGTTTTGGTTCATTGAGGTATCAATCGAAAAACCGATGTGCAAACTGTATGAACACTGCACGTTTGCTGTGTCATTTCTTGTCGCCGTCGGTCTCAAAGGGTAGTTTGGACAATGAATATGCATGAATTTCGCTAAATGTCCTGTGCATGACGAAATACGTGAACAGAAAGCGATTTCCCTCGACTGTAATATTGGATTCCCGCCACCACGTGTTCTTTCCCTCTGTTCTAAATGGTGATAGAAAACAGGGATTTGTATATCATTGCTTTGAATATCTTCACTTAGAAATGTTTCAGTCAAACACATTATATTAAACGACCCATAGTCAGCAATTAAAATATTTAATTTATCGCTAAAAATACGAACATTTAGGTATATAATATGTACGTCTTTATAGTATGTAGGTTTCCACAGCAGAGAAGTTGGAAACTAAATACAAATGGTGAACACAGATGATACAAACATCGAAGTTTGAAACATGTGTACACAGATCAGAAACTTAAATGAATATTTGACATGAAGTTTAACTGCACATTAAACAAGACGAGTGAGTGAGCGAGTATGGTTTTACGCGGCTTTTAGCAATATTCCAGCAATTTCACGGCGGGGGACACCAGAAATGGGCTTCACACATTGTGCCCATGTCGGGAATCGAACCCGGGTCTTCGGCGTGACGAGCGAACGTTAACACTAGGCTAACCGACCGCCCCTTAAACAAGAAGAATGCAAACATACTTCTCAAAAGTAATTAAAGAACACAATAAATGGAAGGTTGTGTGTTCCAATATCTTCCAGCTATGACTGATAAACTATTGTCATATGAAAAAATCGGGTGTTGTTCAACTTTTTTCGAGTAGTATATAAATCCGCCTAAGATTCGTGTTGACTAATTACATGTAGTTGCAATTGGTTATGGTGGATAATACCTTTACGCTTAGTATACCTGATCACTTTTATGCAACTCGATACACCTTCCAACTGGATATAAAGAGATAGCGTGTGGACATGACGTTCCAACGTTTTTTATGTGATTTCATCAAACCGTGCACTCGTATTTATACAATCGCGTCGGGGGCACGGATGGCCCAGTCATCTAAGGCGCCGCGATTCGCTGTGCAGAGTTGCGTCCCTTGGACACGCCAGAAACGTATCGAATCCCAGTTCGCCCCGATTATGTTTCTAGGTTTGTCAGCACCATACCAATGCTCGTGGGTTTCACCGAAGTGGTAAACGTCTGAGACCTGCATCACTTCGGACTTTCCTCCCACATTAAGCTGACACGCCGCGATATAACTGTAATACTGTTAAAAGCGGCGGTAAACCCAATTCACTCACTAAACAAACGCGCCACTATCACAATTTCATATCTCATATTCATATTCTTTGGACACAATTGTTATTTTCGAACGCTGCGATTCAACATCTCAGAGATTATATTTGAGCAAACAATTTGGTGAATATGCTTGTGAAAGGTGCGAATCAGCATCTCTCATTCCGTACCACGGTGTCTTGACACGGCAAACAATTCAAGCGAAAGAAAGCATAAGCAACGATCCAAGCCATTGGGGTTCGGTGACACCCAATTACTGTCACAGAACCTATAGCCGATGTCACTTTCCTCGGCTCTTACGACATGCTTTATGTACACGGTGACCATTAGTTACACTGATCCGGGACCGTGAAGATCCGGGGAAGAATAGGTATTCAGCAACCCATGCTTGCCGTAAAAGGCGACTATGTTTGTCGTAAAAGGCGACTAACGGGATCGAGTGGTCAGGCTCGCTGACTTGGTTGATGCATGTCATCGATCCCAATTGCGTGGATCAATGCTCATGATGTCAATCACTGGATTGTCTGGTCCAGACTCGATTATTTACAGACCGCTGTCATATAGCTGGAATATTGCTGAGAGCGGTGTTAAACAACAAAGGAACCATTCTACCAACCAACCTCTAACAAGCATAGTCGCCTTTTACGGCAACATTTAATAAGCAAGATATATATATTAAATGATATTAAATTATCTTTTTAATATTAGATTGTTTATGCTGAGACTACTTTGTATGAGTTTGCTGAAGACGCTGATGCTGAACAAACTGTTACTATACTGATCCAGAAACCCTATTTTAAATGTACGTGCCATTTATGTTAAATTAATTTGTACTTTTGTAAATCTTACCTTCAGCTTGACTATCAAGTGTTTAATACCAGATCCTGATCGTCGCCTCTGTCTGTGCCTCACTTTCCCACACTTCCAGTGAGTAACACACACACACACACATATATATATATATATTTAACCTGCTAATATTGCCAGCACGATTTGGACGTGTATATTCAACGTAATATATTATTAGTAGTGAATGACTGTTGAACAAACAACGCGAGAGTTCTGAAGCTGACGTTGACCTGGATGTAGCAAGAGGTGGGGCCGATGGAGGACAAGGTATATATACACTTGTAATATATGTAAACGCCGCTTTGAAAAGCAATATATGTGTGTCGACGCAGTGTGCAAACGTACATTACCGTCTGATACAAGAAGGACACGAAACGAATAATAGATCTTGAGATACAGAAGAACTTGAAGCGATGGAGGAGAATACCCGTTCGGGGACTGTGACTGGCTTATGGCTTAAACAATCTGTGTATTTTCTGGTGGATGTTATATCCCACTAACGGATATTGATTTCTGTTTCCTAAAAATGTTTCTCGTTGATTGTTTTATCTTCCTTGTCATCTACAAATATGACACTCTGAAATGGATGGTTTGTTTGGTTGTTGTTTAACGCATTTAGCAGTATTCCAGCTGTGTGACGTCGGTCTGTAAATATCGAATCTGGATCAGACAATCCGGTGATTGATACCATGAACAACGATCCACGCGGGACGCATAAAACCACATGTTCCCCTCCTGACTGCGCTACGTGTACAACTTATAATGTACGATGTAGAAAGTTCAACTTCCACATCTTAGATAGGCTACATATAATATAATATTTTTAATATATACACAAAGAAGAAAGTTAAGCACACCCCTATTTCTGCAAAATCATGGCATGGGGTGACTGACCACAGGAGCTGGGCGATACCAATGTCATCGGATAGAACAAACATTTGACAACAAATAAAGAAGATATTGGTGAGTGGTGATTGAAATTTACTACCAAAAACATCATGGTAACACAGATACTGTTTTTGACCTTAGACAATACCTAAAAAAATATGGAGCTGCAGGATTAATTAACGAGTTACGTTTGTTATTTCATGTGAAAATGTTCCTTAAAGTCTCTACTTGACATGACACGTGAAACAGATCAGTAGCGGTTATAACCGCAACGTGCCCGGATGATGCATTCCACCCTACGTCTCATGCCTCCAGGCAGACGTTGGATCTGTTGATGGGTCAACAACAACCACTCCTGATGCAATGCTACTTCCAATTGGCTTAAATATAATACAAACCTGTATTTTCTAATCCCATGGGCACGCTCCGATGATAGTTTCAGGGTTGTCAGCACCATGCTCGTCGGTTTCACAAAGCTGGTACACGTCTAAGACCTACGGGGGCACGGGTGGCCCAGTCGTCTAAGGCGCCGCGATTCGCTGTGCAGAGTTGCGTCCCGTGGACATGCCAGAAATCTATGATTGTGGGTTCGTATCCCGGTTCGCCCCGATTATGTTTCTAGGTTTCTCAGCACCATACCTGTGCTCGTGGGTTTCACCGAAGTGATAAACGTCTGAGACCTGCATCACTTCGGGCTTTCCTCCGCCAGTAAGCTGGCACGCCGTGATATAACTGGAATACTGTTAAAAGCGGCGTTAAACCCAACTCACTCACTCACTCACTCACTTTTGTGACATTAAGCTGACACGCCGTAACATAACATGAATACTGATCAAAGCGGCGTTAAACAAAACTCACTTTGCATATGTATAATTCATTGTATCGAACATGCCCTTTGGACTCAAAACAATGCACACGTTCGAGGGTGGATGACCAATTGGTGGAAACACGAACTCGCTCCTACACCCAAAACACAAATGTCAAAACGTGTTGCGTAACCCTGGGCAACCCAGCTCAAAAGTACCTCTGTCCACCAAGGAGGGAGCCCGATATGTGAGATGGATAAAAAAAACGCCCGTAACCAGTTTGGCTTTTCTTCATACTCCCCAGGGAGATGAACATGATAATTGGAATGTATACAGACCGACTAGTCGGGGAACAAATACATCGCTTTTTAGCAGATACTAGTATCTGGGTAAGTGCGGTATATAAATGTATAATGATTGATATCGACAAACCTTTTGCTGCAATTCTCTCATCCCAGGTGAAGATATACATGATCGAGTGTCTCAGCCAGACTGCCTGCGGAGATCTTCACCAGGATCCCACCATCGCCCTCGCGCACTTTCAGCGCCTCATCCCAGGATTGTCTTGGGCATCTTGTCGTAGATGGTGGTGTTTCCAACCATTAGTTTTTGGTAACTCTTTACAGCATCTTTCAGAGAAAGGATTCATCAAATGATTAACTGTCCATAATAAGCAAACTGCGTCCCTGCGCATTCTTCTATATTCATCGTCATATATACTCGGATCTGTCGAACTGAATATGTCGAATTACCGGTTGTCTCGAACTGGGGTTTAACGTCGCCTTCAAGATTCTCACACTTACATAGTGATGCGTATGCAAGTGTGTGTGTGTGTGTGTGTGTGTGTGTGTGTGTGTGTGTGTGTGTGTGTGTGTGTGTGTGTGTGTGTACTAGACCGGCAGGGTTATAACAAGTACCATATTTTATCGTCTTTTGGTGTCGGGGTTCGAACCACCGACCCTCCTCTCTCCGGGTAGAAGCTCTATCCACATGAACACGAAGTCGGTCCTGAAGGTAAGGGGAAAGTAATCGCCGTTATGGAGTATCATACTCGGGGCACATCTTGGGGTTTTCAGTCCACTACCATCAGATCCAAACATGGCCAAGACGCAACTCCGATTGAACCCCTTGCTTACAAGTGACTTTTTTTGGTTTGTTTGTTTGTTGCGTAACTTTGCATTCAGGAAGATAACGGCGCCTCTAAATAAGTCTGAACCTAGTTAATTATATTTTGAGCACTGATCCACGCCGTCGGGGCAATTGAACGAAATAAGCCAAGTCACCATGTCGGACGACCCGATCCATTTGGTCGCCTCATACAACCAAGATAGGTTGCTGGGGACCTATTCTAACCCGCAATCCCAACGGGGACATCAACCTTCGATTCGTGTGATCAAACGATGATAGATCACAGTAATGCAGGGAAATTTCAAATGTGAGTCTTGGACGAAAACTGATTCTTCTCCGGGAACGTAGATTTGCTACTTTCTTTGGTACAGTATAAACTATTAACAATATCTGATATCAACATGGGTTCAAATTCGTAGACGACTTAGTCCTTGTAAAACTGCACGATGACACTGTCGAATGTTATCGATCGTAAACAGCGTTTAGTTTACAAAAAAATGTTATGCTAAATTCTGGCAGATCTACCTGTGTGTTACAGTGTGTATGACGTAAAAGTGACTCCATGATCTGGTTACAATCACCATCTGCAGTAAAACTTGGGCCTTGTCTCACTGGCGTTAGCACCGTGTGTGAAACGTTGGCCTTGTCTCACTGCAGTTAGCACCGTGTGTGAAACGTGGGCCTTGTCTCACTGCAGTTAGCACCGCGTGTGAAACGCGGGCCTTGTCTCATTGCAGTTAGCCCCGAGTGTACAACTTGGGCCTTGTCTCACTACAATTAGCACCGTGTGTGAAACGTGGGCCTTGTCTCATTGCAGTTAGTACCGTGTGTGAAACGTGGGCCTTGTCTCACTGCAGTTAGCACCGTGCGTGAAACTTGGGCATTGTCTCACTGCAGTTAGCACCGCGTGTGAAACGTGGGCCTTGTCTCATTGCAGTTAGTACCGTGTTTGAAACGTGGGCCTTGTCTCACTGCAGTTAGCACCGTGCGTGAAACGTGGGCCTTGTCTCACTGCAGTTAGCACCGTGTGTGAAACGTGGGCCTTGTCTCACTGCAGTTAGCACCGTGTGTGAAACGTGGTCCTTGTCTCATTGCAGTTAGCACCGAGTGTACAACTTGGGCCTTGTCTCACTGCAGTTAGCACCGCGTGTGAAACGTGGGCCCTGTCTCACTGCAGTTAGCACCGTGTGTGAAACTTGGGCCTTGTCTCACTGCAATTAGAGCCATATGTTAAACCTAATTATGTGTGAAAACTGGACCTTGTCTCGTTGCAGTTAGCACCGTGTGTGAAACGTGGGCCTTGTCGCACTGCAATTAGCACCGTGTGTGAAACTTGGGCCTTGTCTCACTGCAATTAGAGCCATATGTTAAACCTAAGAATGTGTGAAAACTGGACCTTGTCTCGTTGCAGTTAGCACCGTGTGTAAAACGCTGGCCCTGTCTCACTGCAATTAGCACCGTGTGTGAAACTTGGGCCTTGTCTCACTGCAATTAGAGCCATATGTTAAACCTAAGTATGTGTGAAAACTGGACCTTGTCTCATTGCAGTTAGCACCGTGTGTGAAACGCTGGCCCTGTCTCGCTGCAGTTAGCACCGTGTGTGAAACTTGGGCCTTGTCTCACTGCAATAAGAGCCATATGTTAAACCTAAGTATGTGTGAAAACTGGACCTTGTCTCATTGCAGTTAGCACCGTGTGTGAAACGTGGGCCCTGTCTCACTGCAGTTAGCACCGTGTGTGAAACTTGGGCATTGTCTCACTGCAGTTAACTCCGTGTGTAAAACTTTGGCCTTGTCTCACTGCAGTTAGCACCGTGTGTAAAACTTTGGCCTTGTCTCACTGCAGTTAGCACCGTGTGTGAAACTTGGGCCTTGTCTCACTGCAATTAGAGCCATATGTTAAACCTAAGTATGTGTGAAAACTGGACCTTGTCTCATTGCAGTTAGCACCGTGTATGAAACGTGGGCCTTGTCTCACTGCAATTAGCACCGTGTGTGAAACTTGGGCCTTGTCTCACTGCAATTAGAGCCATATGTTAAACCTAAGTATGTGTGAAAACTGGACCTTGTCTCATTGCAGTTAGCACCGTGTGTGAAACGTGGGCCCTGTCTCACTGCAGTTAGCACCGTGTGTGAAACTTGGGCATTGTCTCACTGCAGTTAACACCGTGTGTAAAACTTTGGCCTTGTCTCATTGCAGTTAGTACCGTGTTTGAAACGTGGGCCTTGTCTCACTGCAGTTAGCACCGTGCGTGAAACGTGGGCCTTGTCTCACTGCAGTTAGCACCGTGTGTGAAACGTGGGCCTTGTCTCACTGCAGTTAGCACCGTGTGTGAAACGTGG